CATAACACATACACACACACACACACACACACACACACACACACACACACACACTGCATACAAGTGTGCTTCTATCAATTTATGTGCACCATGTGCATTCAGGTACCCCCAAGGCCAGAAGAGGACACTGGATCCCCTGGAATTGGATTTGCAATTGGAATAAAAGGTTGTGAGCTGCCATGTGTGTGCTGGGAACCAAACCAAGTCTTTGGAAAGAGCAGTGAGTGCCCTTAATCACTAAGCCATCTCTCCACCCCCATAAGCAGGCATTTCTTTAAAGCTCAAGGCAATTAATTAACAACGAAGTGCCACAAAACATGTTGTTTCAAAAATATAGACCAATGTGAGTCTTCAATGTCGGGACCCATAGAAGTGGCTCCATTCCATCTTCAACCCAACACCGTGGGTAAATTACAGATGTCCTGTAAAGTATCTCAAATGATTTGAGTCTTCAGTACCCAGAAGAACTCATGCAGGATCTCACCTCTAAGACCATTCACCCACAAGGACATCAGGAGTGCAGCCAAGATCTATGACACTCTTACAGTCTGCCTATTAAAAACTTAGACCACATGCAACAGTCGGGGGTGGGGAGGAGGGGAGCACACAAAAGATTAATCTTAAAATATTTTGTAATCTAAAAGGTAATTTTATTATGACAACTAAGTAATATATGTTTAAAATGTAGTCTATTAAAATCACCTGAGGGAGCTGGAAAGATGGCTCTGCAGTTAAAGAGTACTTGCTGCTCTTGCAGAAGACCCAGGTTCAGTTCCCAGGACTCACATCATGGCTCACAAACATCTAGGACTCTGGTTCCAAGAGATATGATGCCTTTTTCTTGCTTCCACTGAAACCAGGCATGCACATGATATATATATTCATATCCACACATTAAATAACATGTATTTAAAAAAACACTGACATGAGAGTTAAGTTCTTAAGCTATATGTAAATCTGAGGTAACCAAATAAAACTAGTTTTACAATAGTCTCTGCCCTGAGATTGACTGTTTTTTTGTGTGTGTGATGCTGAGATTCAAACCCAGGACCTTGGCCATATCGAGTGCTTTACTATTAAGCTATACTACAGTCACAATACATGACTGCACTGGGGATGCTGTAACACAGTCACCCAGTTTAATTACAACAGACCAGGGTAGGTTTTATGTCATAACTGTATGCAATGTTCAAATATGTAGGTGCAAACTGGGACTCTGTTATTTCATTCTTCAAGTTCCATGGTATTCTCACACTTAAAAAAATTGTATGTTTTAAAAGAAGGTTCACCTCAAAGTAAACACATATTTTGTAATCTAGAACCTAAGTTATTTGCTACATATGATGGAGTCCCCAGTTTAGTGTCAGTTAATTCAAAATTGATTTGCTTAATTTTACTGTAAAATGAAATTATGTTGCCATGAATAAAATTTCTTACCTTGAACATTTAAATTAATAAAACATTAAAATATTTTTATTTTATTTTGAATTGTGTGTGTGTGTGCTGGGGTAGGTATATGTACTCATGAGTGAATGTGCACACTAAAGCCAGAGACATTGGATCTCCCTGGAGCTGGAGTTACAGGTGGGTGTGAGCCATTCCGAGTGTGGGAACAAAACTCAGGTCCTCTCCAAGAGCAGCATCCACTCTTAACCTCTGAGCCATTTCTCTTGCCATCTCACTATTTTGTGGGTGCTACATTTCATGTGACGCAATCTTTTCCTTAAAAAGTAACCAAAGATGGAAAGATTATGTTTGCATTTTCTTTGTTCAAGGTGTTTATTGCATCTCAGAGGGCAGACATGCATTGGGTTTTTAAACCAAAATACAAAGAAAAGCCATTTTGAAATTGGTTTTAGGTAATTTTCCCCCATTACAGTGTATGTTATCCCCACAGTAAATTCAGATACAACCACTTTAAAGGGTACCATACATCTATTAAGTAATTTGAAAAATAGGCAAATGCCTTTCCAACCCAATATGCTTTTACAAAGAGCTGCCAAGCCACTAAACAACACTGATCAACAGTGACCTTGTGCACGCATCAAAATCTTCAGCCAAGCCATCAGCACAGACAGTATGACAACAAACTAAAAAATCAGAGAATACAGTATGTACATTAAAAGATACAATTCGCTGAATTGGTTTCAATCCTATCACAAAAGTACAACAGAAGTCACTTTGAGCTCAATCAAAGGATGGAGAAATACTAGTCTATAGGACACACAAAGAAACACTAACTGAACAGATGTCCGTAAACCCACAGTGAAGGAAAGATATTTGCAGTTATCTTTAAGTTACAGATGTCTCTTGGGCCACGTTCATAGTCACATAAAGAGCACATTGCTAATCGCATATTCACAGACACAAAAGAAAGACTCCACTTGTCAGGGCCTTTGATCAAGAATGAATAAATAGGTCAATTTAGATGCAAAACCTGCAAATATAATTAAAATATATATCTTAATATAGCAGTGATAAATATGGACTTCTCATATGATTTTTTTCTCATTCTCGATAAGGTAGCTTCATCAAGGAGAAGTTTTATTATGGACATTAAACTTCATATTCTTTTAAAATAAAATTTCTTAACATATACAGTGCACAAAAATAAACATTTCTCACAACAGTTGAAGTTTCTGTGATTGGAAAAATGTACTCCACACCGAAAAAGTTTTCATATATTTAAGAGTGTTTTCCTCACTAGCTGAAAGTATTACGTTTGCAACAGAGGTACAGAAGAGAGGAGAGTTCATGGGAGGACTGGAAGGTTCGTCCAAAAGTTATAGATATATACACTGAAACCTTCAAAAAACAGACACATCTTTCCAAATGGCTCACCACACAGCAGCTGCATCATCTGTCCAGAAAAGCACTAAAGGCATTGGAAACATCCATTCATTGTTTACATCGCACAACACACAAATAATCCAAATACGCTACGAGTTCGAGAGTAGGGATAACAGCTAAGGTAGTACACATTCCTAATGTTCACGGTCACAGCTGCGCTGTGTGTCTGGAAGAGAAGTTACAGTCAGCACTGGGTTTGGTACTGGTGGCTCACTTTTGAAACTCTGAGCATCAATCTTATTTGAAGTTTGAAAACTCATGTTATTTTCTTCCTATTCAGTCACAAAAATTGCAGCTGTGAAGAAAAAAAGATACTTGAATTAGAAAACATAATGTACACACCCCTCCACCAACATTTTACCTCCCTTCTGATTTTCCTTCACAGTGCAAAATACCTGTACACGAAAGGGTTCAAGATTAACCAGCTCACACCTACACTTTTCCAAACTCCTCAAGATAAGCTTAAAAATTCACTCAGGAAACGTAAGAAATAATTCTATGTTCAGTTCACTTTAGGGAAAAATTTTTATCAATAACCTTAAAACTTTAACACTAGGATTCTTAGTCATGAGACTTTCAGTCTCAACTAAGAGCTAATCTGCAAATATGGGTGGCGACAGAGAAGGTGGAATGGCATTGACTTCCGGTATCTTTTATGCCCATCAATGAGCCACTTAACAGTTGGACAAGTGTGGACTGGAAAGCAAGGGCAAGCCTGGGCCTGGGCCTTCTCATCCACCTCTGTCTGCTTCATCCAGCTGCTGCTTCTCTTGGGAAATACTCTCTCTAGGTTTGAAAGACATCTCTTCCTAAAATGTTTGTCTGCCTGGGATGTCAATCCTAGGGACAGAGAATGTCTCAAGACTCCCTTTGTGTCTGTCACTTATCAAGGCTTTTAGTGTGCAATGACAGCAAGAGCATCTAAACGAGAGGCTTCTACGCCATCTCCTGTCATTCCTGAAACAAGCTTCGGAGATAAGTGATATCTTAGGTGTCTACCTTGTCTTGATGCAAGAGGAACAGCCAGAATGCCACAAGGGAAAAAAAATCTGGCTGATGTCAAGATATTAGAATGGTGTTATCGACAGTTTCATTTAAAACAGATTATTATTATTATTATTATTATTATTATTATTATTATTATGTGGCCTGGCTGGCCCTTGAATTCTCAATCCTCCTGCCTCAGCCTCCAGTGTGCTGGAGTTAAAGGCTTTGGTCACCATGCCTGGCTACCATTAATCCACATATACAAAAAAAAAAGTCAGGAGTTAATAAATGTAGGCAGTGGATATGTGATAGAAATCACACTGCACCACGGTTCAAGGCTCCAACATTCTTGGTGTTCTTCTGGTTAGGCCTTGAAAAATCATTTCAAGCTCAAGGATCAGTTCTTTCAGCTGCAAAGCAGCAAAAATCTGACGTGGAAAATACTGAGTAAACATATAAAGTAATTCTGAACACATCTGTAAGCAGCTACTGACTGTGTTAGGTGTTGGGGCTGAAAGTAAGCATTCCCTTCCATTCATTTCCTCCCTCACGTTCACTGTGATCCATTTGGTAAATTATCATTATGAAATAGAAGACCAGATTGCCAGGAATTTAAAATTCAGCTTAAATAAATGCAAAGGGTAAGAATCTAAGTTTTATTTAATATGAGAAATAAGGATAGAGGAAAGGTGTGGTTATGTAGCCAAATGTAGTTTTACATGACTTCTAAATCCAGTATTATAAATGCTGGTGTCCTAGGAAGTCTAGTCATCATGGGATAGATACAGTGGCCTCTCCCAGTTAACGGAGGTGCCTGGGAGACTTCTGCCTCATCAGTATAATTTTTGTGCTTTTCAAAATAAGAACAAATGACAGTTTTTTCTCCCCCATAGTTTAACAAATTGTGATTTTAAAAATTCACTGGTAAGGACAGATTTTGATGTCAAATTTAAAGCTTTAAACATTGAAATCTATCTATCTATCTATCTATCTATCTATCTATCTATCTCCCTTCCATCCATCTTTCCATCCATCCATCCATCCATCCATCATCTACCTATGACACAGAAATAACAAACCTCATGCCTAGAACATTCAAGCCCTGCACAAGTTCACTATTACAAACTCACAGGAAAAGCTCAATATCAGATACCTTAAATTGTTTACAAGAAATCCTTGATGTTAAGATCCGCTAATGGGTCCTTGGCTGGAGGTTTCTTGGGACTCTGAGTGGCAGGTGTAGGGCTTGGAGAAAGCTAATGGGGAAGAGGCCAGCCCCAAAGAACAGAAATAGAAAGCACAAGAGAGACAGGTAAGCATTAGGCAGAACATATACCAGAGAAAACAAACATAAAGAAGAACAGACGGCTAAAAGTTAATACAGCTGCTTCGTTCTACTTCATCTGGGTTGTGCTTAGCTTTGGAGTGGAAAAATGTGCTGGGAATGGTGTTTGGATTTCTTGAAATTCTTTGACATCAGATTCTGCCAAGGTGAAATATGGGGACTCTGGGAGAAGAGTTGGAATTAGGAAGATAATGAGAATATACGGTAAATCACACACACACACACACACACACACACACACACACACACACACACACAGGAAAGAACAGTATTTTTTCTATGCAAAAGGCATTCTTACCTTGAATCCTTAGTAACATCAAACTATTAAGAAAAGAATTACACAGCCTTTCTTACAGTAAGAGTGAGTTGCAGGGGGGAATGAGACAGAACAGAAGTTTGCAGACAGCATGGTAAGAAATTACTTGAAATTATTAACTAACTATGCCAGTGCTTTACATAAATTATTTCAAATGAAACACAGCTTTGGGACAGTGTGTGTCTCAGATGAACAAGTCCACAGATCTTATCTAGTGTGTTTTTCCAATACTGTAATTATCAACTGCCGAAGAAACTTCTGGGGGCCATACTTTTCAGGACTGGCAGGGAAAAGCCTTAATATGTTTGCAGTAGCCTATTTGGAGCAATGATTGACATCTCTATTTTGAAGCCAATTCACCTCAAGGTGACAGCAGTTCCTGAAATCTGGAACTGTGAGATGTGGTATCTGTGTGTATGGTTTGGGAAGGACAGCTCCAGAAGCCAGGAGGCTGAATCTGTTCCTACGTCCAACCTACTGACTGTAGTATCCACCAATCTCATCTGTAAAACTGAGGTAACGTTTCAAAGAATGTCAGGGAAAATCAATGCTAAAGCTTAAAACTGCTTGGCAGAACTTGAAGACTTTATCCACAACACGTGAGATGACAATATTGTGACAACCAACTAAAATAATAGATGGCTCAGACATTGGTAATAAAAACAGCTTTCTATAGGAAAGCTATATATATAGGTTTGTTTATTCTACTGGCCACTTATGCTTTCTCTTCGATAGAGGAAATATAATCTAAATAGTAGGCCAGGTATGGTGGTCCATACCTTTAATCCTAGCACTTGGGAGGCAGAGACAGATGGACCTCTGTAGGACAGCCTGATCTATATAGCTAACTTCTGGGCCAGTCAAGGCCAAATAGTGAGAACTTGATTAAAAAGAAATGCTTAAATAAATGAATATTATATAGATATTGTGAACTCTTCCATGACTTACTATAACATCAATTATGAAAATACATTTCATGCTATCATTTTTTTTTATTTTTATTCTTCAAATCAAGTAATAACTTATGGATGAAATTATATTAACTCATTTCTAAGGCTTCCACTACTGAAAATAATAATGTTTAAAAGTTGTAAGTATCCTATAGATAAGACAATGTAAACATCCATTTGGTACATTTAAAACGCCACAGGAGTGAAGCCATTTTCTGACGTCATTAAATTCAATTGGAAACATTTGGTTTACTTTGCTCAGCAAGTTGCTACTTAAGTTATAATTTTGGGTTCTCGCTCTGTCCAGGCCAGTTGCTCAGGGCAAAAAAGTCCATTGGTTCCACACATATCTCTTTATTTTACAGACAATTTAAAAGAAGAATCAAGAGAGGACAGCTTCTAGCATGGCCAATATTAGCAGCAAAGCACTTAAACCACAAGATGCTTTTTGTGTTTCTGGAAGTGGATGGGAGAGTAGGGAATCTGGCCTCACCGAAAACAGGTTTCCCTTCATTGCAGATCCTGCTAGATAAACTCTAAACCCTAGTAATGTCCTAAGTGACAGACATGACTTGGTTATTCAGGGTTGCTCCTGGAAACCCCCTTAGGTTAGTTATTTGACACAAGTTGGAGTCATCTGGAAAGAGGGAACTTCAACTGAGAAAATGTCACAATCAGATTGGTGGATAAGCTTGTGAGACACTTTCTTGATAATGATTGATGTGGGAGTGCCTGGACTACTGTGGGTGCTACCATCCCTAGATAGGTGGCCCTGGCTGGTATAAGCCATGAAGAAGCAACATCCCACCATGGTCTTTGTCCTGACTCCAGGCTCCTGCCTTGAACTCTTGCCCTAACCCTTCACGATGGACCATTAACTGTAGGCTGAAATAAACCCTTTCCCCACAAGCTGCTTTTAGTCATGGCGTTTCTCATAGCAAACTAGAACAACCCCTTATGCTAACAAGGTGACTCATAGGCACCCTTCCATAACGTATGCTGGGATGACACAGAGTAGATGGAGGCTGGCCATACCAGAAAAGCCAATTAGTTATTATGTCGTTGAGTCTTTAAGCCACATAATAGCAAGCATGGCTTCCAGGGTGGGGAGGGATTAGAGACTGAGTGCAACTCATAGGTTCAATCAATTATTACTGGGCAACGAAGCCTTGCTAATGTCATTCTGACGCCGGAGTTATCTTCTGCAGTTGCCAATACTGCCACACATTGATGCTAGAAGCAGCTACATGCTTGAACCTCTCCCAGATGTTCCTATCATCTCTTCCTCTAGCTGTATCTAATTTGTATCCTTTCACAGCAATAAAACTATCACTATACAGTTTCTACTTCCCTGAGTTCTGTGAGCCAGTATGGTAAATCTAAGCAGAGGGAGGTCATAGAGAACCTCACTTTTGTATACAGCTTGTCTGAAGTGAGGCCGGCCCTGAGGATTCCCAACTTGTAGCTGGTGTTGAAAGAGAAGTGACTTTTATGGTGACTCTGATGTTTGGGGACTCAGTGCTGTTGCTGTCAGAGTGCAGGGTAGACCCTGCAGCCTGGGCAACTGTGACTCTGGTAAACATCTGGTGGAAAGTGGATGGAGACAGACAGTAAGGCCAGTCTTGGCTACCTAATGAACTTGAGATCATCCTGGGCTGCATGAAACCATCTTTAAAAAAAAAAAAAGAACAAAAGAAAAAGAAAAAAACACAACACCAAATCTAAACTCATCATTGGGACATATGTATCAAGTACCCTAAATGTGCATTCTGAATTAAAGAAAAAGAGAAGGACCTCAGGATGGTTAGTTCTTTGTCACTATCTCCATACCCTACACTGCTTCCATGTCCCTTTACTCCTGAAGCAACAGTTTTTAAACAGCCACACTGAGGGAGGCAGGATAGAGAGACAGGGAAAATGACAGGACCATGAGGCAGGAAAGGAGCCCTTCACCCCGGAGTCTGATGGAAGCAAGAATTTCAGCCCAACAAACATTTTCTGTGAAGGCTAACATGGAAATGATATTCCTTCTATATAGAGATATTTTATGTTAAAATAACAATGGACATGCTTAAGGCCTAAACCTTGGGTAGGGTCTTCCAAGAAGTACCCTGGGGACTCTCAAACAAAACTGTTAACACTGTTTACAGTTCAGACACCCAACCTTCTGGCATCCCTGTGATCTCAACTCTGACTTATCAACTGTAAACCTGTCACATGCTGCCCCAAAACTGCCCAGGGATCTCTTAAGGCCCTTAGCACTCTTCAATGAGAATGGCTTCAAACCCACCCAAACTGTATACCTGACAACAAAATGTGACACCCTCTTAGAGAAGTCTATAAACACACTCTGGAGCTGTGTCTTTCTTTCTGAGCAGTTTTAACTTTCCTGTTCAGTCTTTATTAACCACTAGTTCTGCCTCACACTGGCTAGTCCTGAAATATTATTTTCAAGCCAGGCAGCCCATTCTGGCCTGAATCCTTAAAGACCAGGAGAACTCCGAAGGCTGCTGCGGGTGAAGAGTGGAGCTGTCCTCTTGCCTCTGTTCCTCACATCACTAACAGCAAGACAGTTTGAGGTTTAGGAGTAAATGTATGGTTTTGTGAACTTTAGGAAACTGACCTGTGTGCCCGGCACAGCTGCGGCTCCAAAGGGTGGTCTCATCATGGGTTGTGCAAACATGACTGGCTGCTGAGACATCATGGTCATGCCTGTCCCCGCAGGAGGCTGCAAAGGGAGCTACACTCAGAGCAGGTCTGGGACCCATGAGTGCAAAACCAGACACGCACACCTTTTACATACTTTGAACAACTGCTGAGAAAACCACACAGGTAGCAACTATGTAACTTTGAACTCCAGGTGTTGAGGCTGTCAGATGGGGGGGGGGGGAATGTCCCTGAGCTGTTATGCCAGTCTGGCTGGCCGTGTGGCATCCTCATTCTAGTCAGGAGCTGTGTGTTCATCTCCTGTTAGAGTAATTCTTGAGACAAAAGCTAATTTCCTTATGCAGGATGGTCCTAAAATGTGCTGACAATAGACATGCAGAGTTTACAAAAAGCCCCAGTATAGAAAGGGTTGCTTTTGATGACTGAGCTAAAATATGTGATAAATATCATCTCTAAAATGATACAACAATGTACTGTAATATACTTGTACACATTGTAACTGCTTCCCCACTTCCTGACTAAGCTGGTTCAGGTTCAAAGCAGATGACTTAAGCTGTAGTTTCTTTTACTGTACTTCCTGCAGGAGTATCTGTTCATTTGAACATTGGTAAAGATGTCAGGAACGTCAACTACAGGTTTTGGCGCAGGTCATCACTCACCATTCCAAATCCTGCTCCAGGTTGCCCAACAGATGGGGCCCCGGCACCCGGAGGAACTGAGCTGGCTGGAGGAACAGTGCCCTGCTGCACACGCATTCCCACAGAACCACACAGAACAAATTAAGAAAGAAACAACATAACATGGTTTTAAAATGATAGGCTATAATTTTAAAATATGTGCATTTCAAGTTTGGGTATGTGGATACACAAAGCATTCTCAAACTTCATTTCTAAATTTTAATAGATGAGTAGCACCATAGCAATGGTTTGAGGTTTGCTTTTGTGGTGCTGTTTGGACTCACGGGCTTGCAGCTTCTCAAACCTCCCACTGCCCAGCCCACTCTTGCTGTGAAAGAACTGGACTTCAGTGAGCCGTCTCCTCCCACCATTCTATCCTCTGACATGTGTCAGAGGGTTAGACACTGGAGTGACAGATAGACGTAGAAAGTCAGGGGTGCGCCCAAGGGAAGAAAACTATAAGTGGGCTTGGGACAAGTGGCTTTCCTAGTTTTGCTAAAATATGGAAGACACAGTAATTTGAAATATAGAAATGAATATCTTTTAAACCTTATGGAAAGGATGATGGTCTAGTTTCAAGCTTAAAATTAGTAAGCTGAAAAAATATGATGTTAAAATATCACACAATAGAAAGCATCCTTAGTCAAGTTTCTATTGCTGTGATAAACACCACGACAAAAAGCAACCTGGGGAGAAAAGGGTTTATTTCAGCCCACAGCTTAGAGTCTCTCCTGAAGTTAAGTCAGGGTAGGAGCCTGGAGGCAGCAACTGAGGTAGAAGCCATGGAGGAGTACTTACTGGCTTGCTCCTCATGGCTTGTTCAGCCTGTTTACTTACACCATTCAGGACTACCAGCCCAGAAGTGGCACTGCTCATAGTAAGCTGGGCCCATCCCATATAAGCCATCCATCAAAAAAATGCACCACAGGCCAGTCTGGCAAGGGCATTTTGTCAATTGAGATTCTTTCTTTTTTTAAAAAAAACTCTAGCTCGTGTCAAGTTGACATAAAACTAGTCAGTATAATTCATCCTTTCTGTTACGGAAAAAAACCCTTTTTCACTTCTTATTTAGACTATCAGGAGATTTTGGCAGGAAATATGATATTTCAATCCCTATCCCATGGTATTAAATCCATGATAGGGAATGTGCTAGAAAATCATTTCTTTGATTTTACAAATAAATCAGAAACATAAATATACTATTAAGACTATTGCAAACAAAAGGTATTTAAGTGTAGACTGTAATTATTATTGCATGCAAAGTCCACAGATTTGCATTTCAGTGAATTTTGCATCTTGCTTGTATCACTTTAACATGAACAGGGTTGTAAAATGTTAATAGTCAAGTTAAGCAGAAAATACTTGCTCTGCAGACTTGAAAATTGGTAAACTGCCCATACCACCCTGGCCTCACTGTTACGTACCGGTGGAACACCTGCTGACCATGTGGCTGGAGTGACTTTCGGTTGCCAGTTGGCTCCACCAGTCAACTTTTTCTCCCCAGCATTCCACTGGAGATCTCCCCTAAAGGGCAAGTGTGAAAAACAAACAAAACACATCAGAGGGAAGAAATGGAATGTGGCCTCCTGGATTCTTTACTTGGGTTTAGAAGTAGTCTATTTGAACCTGGTGGTGATACAAAGCATAGATTAAAAGGGTGGTGGTAGTGTATGCCTTTAATTCCAGCACTCGGGAGGCAGAGGCAGGTGGATCTCTGTGAGTTTGAGGCCAGCCTGGTCTACAAAGCCAATTCCAGGACAGCCAGGGCTGTTACACAGAGAAACCCTGTCTCAAAAAACAAAACAAAAAGAGCATAGATAAAAACTAAGAGGAGTCTTGCCATATTGTATTTAAGACAGCACAAAAGCATTCAAAATAAAACAAGTGTGTGTTTTGCATTCAGTGAACAGGAGTTTCATGTCACAACAGAAAAATATGCCAGAAATTTTAACTGAATTCTTTATTCACAATAAAACTCCAAATATATACAATCAATCTGGACACATATCTTGTTGAATTTAGTTTTATCATTTTACTTATGTGTATGTGTATATTCTGTATGGGGGCAGGTACATATGAGTGCAGGTGCCTTGGAGCTCAGAGATGTTATATTCTCTGGAGCTGGGGTTACAGGGAGTGGCAAACCATTTGACATTCATGCTGGAAATAGAACTCAGGTCTTCTGTTAGAGCAATCTGTGCTCTTGACTGCTGAGCCATCTTTCCAACCCTGCAACCTCTTGAATTTCATTGATGGTGGCTATTTCTGGTTCTTAAAGAGTTCAAGAGAGGGTTTTCCACACAGCTGTATCATGCCTGTAGTCTGATTGATAGTCACTGTACAGCTCTAACACACATCCCAGTTTTGATGGCAAAGCATACATTGAGGAAAGGAGATACTGTTTACCACTCTTATGTCCCAGGAAAGACTTTAAAAGCAACATCATCCAGAAATACTGGCTAAATATCAATCATAAGGCTATCAAAATACTCAAAACTACACAGAAACCCAGTCTCGAAAAAACAAACATACAAAACCTTAAAACTCCACCCCCAAAATATTTCCAGATGTAACAGTGGTGATCCTGGACTGAAAAAGATTATTCATTTTCAAAGTGGAACAATAATTTGGAGATTTCAATAGACTAACAACAAGAATATAAACTGAAATGAAAAACAACTTAAATTACCCAACTTTAAGAATGGGAAATAACATACTCCAGTGAGGGAAATGTTTGATAGTCTTGAATAAACACATACCAACACATTGTTAAAAGGAAAACAGATAATTGAAAAACACTTACTTTTTTGTTGTGGTACCAGAAATTCCAAGATCTACAAATGGATAAAAGAAAAAGAATTTGAATCTTATATTCAGGTTGTGTATTACAGTATTTGAGAAATCCAGGACTCATAGGAGCCTTGCCTAGCAATGACTGTATCCAGTTGGATTAAAAGGAAACTATACTAGTAAACAAGGGTAGAATTTTAAATTTTCTTTTACTTTATGCCATTTTTAAGGATCACATTTAGTGTGGACTTGCCCAGAAGGCCTGAGATTGCTATCTGAAAAAGTCTTGTTAGGCTGGGGTGTCTATGAGTGTGACCAGTGAACAGTTATTTCCAAGATACAAAACTGTCTCTAAAGATAGCTATTAATGACTAAATGACTAACTGGCTCACTGGGCCTAGACTGTTTATGAGCAGTGTAGACTATGCTCAACACCTGCCTTCCTTCTGCAAGTCGGGAACTTGGTTAGGTGCCAGGCGGTGTGTGCCCACATATTAGCAGTCAACCAAATTTCTGGCTGCTGCTCACACCCTAAGGGGCTTCCTCAGGCTGAAACGCCATATGCAGCTGTGCACCCGTCTCTGGCTGCTGTGATGATGCCCAGATGTGAGGTGAACCATGTCCTGCTGGGTTCTAGGAGCCCTGCTAGTGGACTGTGACTGTAGGAGTGATCCTGGGAATACCTGGCTTAATCATCTAGCCTTCATTTGTCAACTTGGCAAAGATGTGTTGGGCTTTAGCTATATCAGACATTATCCTATGTTTGGGATATATCATTAAGGAGAAGTACTAAAGACCCCCGCCCCCCCCAACCGGAACCTGCACTCTAATGGTGTGACACAGATGGGGAATGATGGTATGAGAAAAGTAAACAATACTGCAGCTCAAAGAGGAGAGTGAAGGTGAGGAGCCAGACAATGGAAGGCCTCCAGGAGAAGGTGGGGCTTCCCCAAAGCTGAGATCCCTAGGCTGAGGGAGCAGCCAGCACAAAGCGCCAAGTAAGTGTGGAGCCGCTTTGTTAGCTGATGGTTTTAGTATTTAGCTCTTGTACTTTGTTTCTTTGCATTGCAAAATAAACTATACACATTAACTAAAACAAACACAGAAATCTTTACACATAATTCTGATCATTTTTCCAGGAAAGACTTTATCTCAATGTGTTGCCCAGGCTAGCCTCTTAAGTTGTAGGTTCAAGATATCCTCTTGCTTCAGCCTTCCAAATAGCTAAGTCTATAGATAGGTATGTGCCATCACTCCCGGCTAGTAACATCTTTGTTTTTAGAAGACAAAGAAGTGTCACTTCTAAAAATTTTATTTTCAGTTAGATCATACAATTTAATCTCTACAGTGCAGTTACAAAGCCAACCAAATATTTATGCTGATCATCTGAAGAGGCAAAACCAGGCAGATGCTCCATACAGACGCATGTACGAATCCTGCCCTTTGTGGCAGATGGGAATGCTATATAGAGGTGTGGGCCTCGCTGCAGGCCAGGCCTCTTGGCAAGAAGACTGTGAGTGAGCAGCATGCAGGAGGCTCGCTATGGACAAAGAGAAGGACAACGAGTGGGCAAGTCTGCAGTGTGGTCTCAGTGGAAGCTTCTGCTAACACTGGAAGTATTTTTAAAACACCTTTTGTGAGATGCAATTCATGTATCATAAAATCCACCCTTACAGTGTGGCTTTAGTTTATTAACAGAGGTAGAGTCATCACTTGTAGCACACTTTTGTTGCCACACATGGAATCTGGTACCTATTAGCAGCTATTCCTCTTCCCTCCTTTTCTTTCTTTCTTTTTTATAACCTCAGATATACAGCCTCTTAACTACTTGCTGTCTCTTCAAATTTGCCTAGTCTGTACATTGTTTATGAACAGACTTGTATCATATGTGGTCTTTGTGACTAAACCTGTCACTCAGTCTAAAATATTTATGGCAAATAATTGATGTTACAGCATGTATCTGTATATCACTCATTTTCAGTCCAAACAACATTATATAAGACATGTATACACACATACCACTTTTCTTGAACTAATGGACTATATGACTGTTTTCACCATGAGGCTTTTATAATTCTAATTTATAATTTATAATTCTAATTTATAATTCTAAGGGCATCTTACATGCTTTTGTGTGAACAAGCATTTTCATTTACTAGCAATAGAACTGCTGAGAGGTATGGTCCACTCTGTTATCATGAGGGGGACCTGCCATGCTTCTTTCCAAAGTGGCCATACTGTGTTACCATACTGGCAGTAATGTCTGAAGTTTTCACAGAATGCCAGCATGTGTTCCAATCTGCTTTCTTCATTGGTATCCCTTCTGGATGTGACGTGGCCATTGTGGCTCTGAGTTACACTAACTTGATGTCTGATGATGTTGAAGACCTTTCCATATACGTAATAGTCATTTATGTATCTCTGCCCTGATAATCTCTCTTCAAGTCCTTTGTCAGTTTTTAAGCCATATTATTCCCATTTTTAATGTTTATTTGCAGAAGCTATTTGTACATTACAGAAGTCATTTGTTAAGATTTGTGACTAGAAGTTCTTTCATTCTGGAGCTGCTCTTTCACTTAAAAAATTATCTTAGACATTTAAATTTTATGTATATTAGTGTTCTGTTTGCATGTTTGTTTGTGCATCACATGTGGGCCTGGTACTTGCAGAGGTCCTAAGAGAGCATCAGATCCACTGGAACTGGAGCTATGGGTGGTTATGGGTTGCCCTGTGCATGCTGGGAACTGACCCCAGGTTCAGTTCTCTGCAAAAGCAACAAGAGCTCTTAGTCACTGAGCCATCTCTCTAGCCTCTTTCACTTTAATCATTTGTGAATTTTAAAACATTTTGATGAACTTTAAAAGTTTAATTTTATTATTTGTTGCTTATATTTTTAAAAAGATAGATTCATTTTATGTGTATGAATATTTTCCTGCATGTATGTACATACACTATGTGCATGCCTGATGACCACTGGGGTCAAAAGAAGATGCTGGATCTCCTGAAACTGGAGGTTTGGATGGTTGTACTATGTGAGCGATGGGAACTCAAACCTGTTCCACTGCAAGAGCAACAAGTGCTCTAAACTGCTAAGCCATCTCTCTAGGGCCCTCTTTGCTTGTATTTCAGGAACTCTATGTAAAGGACATTGCCTAATCCATGATCACAAAGACTTACTAACAAGTTATTTTCTGTGAGTTTGATAGTTTTTATTTAGTATTTACTCATTTTGAGTTGATTTTTTGATGGTATAAAGAAGTCCAACTTCGTTCCTTTTTCTGAGTCTCTCACATTGTTCCAGAAAAAGGTTTTGAAGAGCGCACTAGATCCCTTGGAGCTGGAGTTACAGCAGTTGTGAGACACTTGTTGTAGGTACTGGGTACAGAAGTCAGGACTTCTACAAGATCAGGAAGCACACTTAACCACTGAAGCAGCTCTCCACTCCAGAACAAGGTTTGAAGACTGTCTTTTCCCTCGTTGGGGCCATCATCTACACTAACTTGACAACAGATGTGAAAACTTATTTCCCAAATCTCGCTTCTATTCTGTTGGTCTATAGCACAGTTCATGGTTGTGTCAGCATCATTTTTTCTTATCAGTTTCTGTAGCTTTGGAGAAGTTTTGGCAACCAATTAGTCCTCAGATTCATTAATATTTTTCAAGATTGCTCAGCTCCAGTGTTGAGCTTTTGCCCTAGCTGAAAAAACTGCCACAGGTGGTTGACAAAATGACAAATGTGTGCTGGAGGCAACCTTGGGACATGGGAGTGAGGTAGAATATCACACACCCACAGAAAGCCATCTCTCAGTGGGATGGTGTTTGAGAAGAAGGAAATAATTAAAGAAGGTCTGAAGGATGTCATGAAAGCATTTTTATGCATGCTCAGATCAAGCATAATAGCCTACTAAGCTTTTGATATTGCTTAATACTGCCTGATATCCACAAAGCTAAGCCCATATGCTTTGGTGAAAAGTAAAATTCAGAATTAAAGCAAAGCCAGTGTCCATAGCAACTGTCCACGCCTCCTAGGACTCTCCATCCCCTCAGATCCAGCTCCAACTTCCCTATGTCCTTTCAATTTGGCCATCTCTCCAGCCCTGGCTATACAATCTGTACCCCAGTCTTTGCTCTTAATGTTTCCATTGTCCAAAAACATTCTTCTGACAGCTACCTACTTCACTCCTTACATTGGGGAGGCTTGCTTCTACTTGGTACTCATGATGTAACATAAAGCAGAATTTATTTATTTTAAATGTTTCACTATTCTGACTCTGCCCCTTGTGAGGACCAGAAGAATAGAAATTTTATCTGTTTTGTTCACTGAATCATCTCTAATGCCTGAAATAATACCTCCTGATGAATAAATACTTGTTGAAAAATGAAACCCAGACACTATAAATATACTGCACTTAATATAATTCTATTTTCAGATGGTTATGCATTTATATACAATGTCTTTGTGTAGAACCTGCGCATGACACTGTGTGCTTTTTAGTTGGTGTGCTTGTTTATTTTTGGTAATTTAGATTAAAAGTGATGTGGTTATTCTTGCAAGACAATGGAATAGCAAGTGCTCACCTTCTAAAGAAAGGCTCTGTGTGAAATGCTAACTGTTTTGATCCACTCCTTAAAAAAAACTTACACAAAAGCAAAACCAGAGTGAAAAGATGCAAAGGAAAAAAAGAATCCAATTCATTCATGCTTCAAGTAAACAAAACTAGACTACTCACTGCCTACTAAGCTGGCCAGAGACGAGTCAAGGTCACTTCCAAGGCCTTTGCTGGCTGCCATTGCAGGACTGGGTGGGACCACTGAGACAGGTGCAGGCTGCCCAGATGGTGCCATGGTCGGCATCAGAAGATCACCTAAACCATCAAACACTGGAAATCAAACAGACCAGGTTCAGAAAAATTGAAAGAAAGAGACAAGGGAGATATTATGCAAAAGACGGTCTTTAATGAAACCATGGAAACACATATAAATACATTATTATAAAAGGAACAACAGAATTCATATAACTTATGAATACCAAAAAGAACACATCTACTCAAAAATACATGGAAACGTTAATGAGCATGGAGAAAGACAGGGAGGAAGGCTGTGTAGTATAATGTACTAGAGAGAGCAGAGCCAGGCTATAACTCAGCCATACCCTTTCAGCTCTGAGCATCAGGAAATGACACTTCCACTTTCTCATCTGTAAATGGGGACAGTACCACTAACATACACCTTTGTTGTAAGGACCAGCGAGGGAATATTTTTTCACACGTTGATTACAATGCTGCCTCTGTATAGGTACTCAATAAGTGGTAGCCATTGTTAGTCTAATTAAAACAACCACTAGGCACTTGTTATTGTAAATGGTAGTGATGTGTAGTGAACTATAAATGATTTACCCAACTAACCTAAAATGCTTACTCTTAAAGCAATTTGTAATTGAAAAAAATAGATAATTCCCTAGTGTTCATTGAAACTAGCATAAAATAAATGGTGCTCTGTCAGCATCTAGCAATATATATCAGAAAGACACTTGGTCATATTTTAGAGATAGTTATTTTTGATTATCCCCTTCTTTTGTGGCAATGTTTGGGTTATACTTTAAGGTAACATTTAAAATAAACAGGATTTTAAGGATAAAAGTCAGGAGCCACCACTGGTGTTCCCTCATCCCCAGATGACAAGTACCACTTGTTCAGTTCCTAGAATACAGAAAGACTATTCAAAATAAGGCTTGGAACATCCATAAGATATTAGCAATATCTTATCTACATAAAAGCGTTTCTTATAAGAAACCATGTATATCTACCATAAACACCACTACACAGTCATTCTAAGGTGGGAAAGACAGCATTCAAGTCAGCACTGGCAATAGAAACATCCAGATTGTCAGGCAGAGGATATATTTAGGGTGTTTCTGAAACACATTTAATTGCCAAAAACTCACCAATTGAAAATTTGTAGTGAGGACCCAGCATGAGAAGAGTAGAATGGAAGAGAATACAAACAAAATGACAGCAGTGATGAAAGGTTAGAAGCAAAGGTACTATTCGTGTCTCAACTTCATAAAACGGAGGGCCATGCAAGCTTCAGAGGGTGTAAGCAACAGCAGGAGCGGGGTGTGTGTCGGGGGGTGTCCACACACTCAGATACTGTTCAAAGATTCACTACAGAGTATTTGTCATCCCTTTACCACCAGCTAAATCATGTGCATGTGAATTCATGCAAAATAGATGGTGGGTATGGTAAGATTGCTGCTAAAATTCAAAAACAGAAACAGAAAGGACAGGAAGTTATTCTTAGAGCCACCAAACACGTCCTGGAAATTTTAACTTGAGTTATAGCTTGAGAGCCACCAACAGGCTAACAACATCCACTTGTAAGTTCCCTACAGTCACACTAACCTTGGGAGGTAGATGCTATATTATTAGCAGAAATAAGGAAGAGTGTTTGAACAAGCAATGACTCACCTGATGGATCAAAGGAGCTACTGCTTGAAGTTGAAGGTGTTGTCCCAAAAGCTGCCTCGAAATTGGGTTGCAGCAGGTTATTCTGAGCTGGCGTCACCGGTGTAGTAGAAGGGGCCATGAAAGAACCCCCAAATCCTGATGAAAAAAAAAGGTCCCAGAAAAAATGTCAGCTGAAAGTGAGGAAAAACCATAGAAACAGAGTCAGAAAAAGCTACAGGAATTGAAGAATGACTGCACGATTCGCAATTAGTGAAAGCAGCAGGCTTGTTTTGAAAAGAGCTTTTCAAAGTACGCTGACCCATCATGTAGGAATGACAGATCCAATTTAACCAGACACTAAGTAGCTCTTAATACAAGCACATAAGTATGATGCACACACATTAATGAACCATATTAGAACCCGTGGTATCGGGATCCCTTATGATGAAATTCACAAAGCAAAGAAGGGTTAGAATTCAGGTAAGGTGTCATCACACCGAAACTTTACAATGACAGTAACAGCTAATTACAACATGTTTAGTTGCACACACTAGCCCAGTAATGAATTGTAAAATAAAAAAAAGGGCATCAAATCCTCATTTTCCACATTTTAGCCCCATGGCACCACAAAGGGTAGGTAGGCTCTCATCACTGCTTCCAGATAACAGTCACCAGATAACAGTCACCAAGGGCATGACCCGTGTGTAGTTAGCATCCCCTCTGGTCTTCTCTTTGCAGCTCAGCCAGGCAGTCCCTCTGAGTAGACAATCTTGACAGTGACTTCTTTGAAAGCCTTCACTGGTGCCCTATCCCTTCTAGATCCTTTACAGAGAAGCCTTCTGGCTCTGATTGCTCCCCATCCCTAAAAATCCAGACTGTCAGCAAACTCACAGCTCCTAATGTCACAGGCCTCTGGAAGGACTTCCATGATGTGCTGCTGCCCACTGCTGCTGGCTACACTCCATCCCCCATGTACATCATTGTTCTCAGCATGAGGAGCAATGCTCCACGCTACTTCTATTATGTCTTCATCCCCGTGCTCCCCAAGCTCCAACTCCAGAGACAGCTTGCTAGGTTCAGGAGCTGTGTGCCTTTTCCTCCTGTTTTTTCTATTAATATTTAGCACAGTTCCTGAAACAGTAAGTTAGTGGTTACTGGATAAATGATAAGGGCTTATAAAATTGCTGTAAATTCATCAGATCTCAAATTAAGTATTTATTCTTTGAAATCTGGAAGCAGATCATGTCTCTAGCTCCAGCAACAGAAGCAGGAGCCTAAGGTGACTCTGTTGCTTTTGTGTAAAAATACGCAACCTGCAAGGAGGTGCTTAGTAATTCTTTAGTAAGACACTAGGTGATTTTCTATTATAAAAATCTTTATTTTTTCCAGAAGTCTGGCTGTCTTTTTTTGAGACAGAGTCTCACCATATAGTCCTGGATAAGCCTGCACCTCACTATATAGACTGGACTTACTAACTCACAGAGATTTGCCTGCTTCTGCTTTCTGAGTGCTGGGATTAAAGCGTGCACCACGATGTCTAGAAATTTCTTACAACCAAATTTGTTGCGTATGGTTTTTTTTTCAAGTTTAGTCACATCATCTTTTCTTCACAAATAGATCACAAAAATATAGACATAGATTAACAGTGCAATTTACAAAACCAGCTTCTCTTTTGGGAAATAAACTTTGGTCATCTTTTTAGCAGTAAGCACTAATATTCAAATCAAAAGTGGCATAAATTTAAGACTTTCCTAATACATATACAAAAATGATTAGTTGTTTGTAGTGCCTTTCTGAAGTTCATGCTGAGTGATTTTCATTATTTAAAATGGTACTGAATGAACTTTGAAAAATTATTTGCCAGAGAAATGGTATTCTCCATTAGTCTCCATTCTCCACTAGTCACATTATGAAGCAAATATAAGCTAAGATTATCATTATATTTTGGATGCAATGGTTTTTATTTTATGGACATTGGTGGACAAGTTAATGATGAGTTTTGAAAAATTGCACTTCCACTTGGAGTTTAGGCAACTGTCATCTGGCCTCATTCTTAGTCACAGGTGAAGACTGGAGGTGACTGCACTCAACTTGGCTTCTTAAAATCTCTCTCAGGGTAAAAAAAAAAAAAAAAAAAAAAAAAACCAGTACATTCTAGAATCCTAATAATAGTGGTCTGAAAGTACCACAGTTCATCTATTTCACCTCTGTCATTCCATGGTTGGAAGTGACTCTGAAAAGTCAACAAATCCAGTAGACTCCACAGAAAGAGAAAAACGTGTTTGTGTGTGTTCACGTGGGGCTTATCTTTCGAGCACTAATCAGCTTCACTCACAGTTAAGACCACATTCATAGGATTATAAATAGTAGTGCTCACATATAAAATCTTAGTGTCTATTCTACAAAAGTGGAATGGAACAGCAGCAGCCGGATGAGGAGCCCTGAGTGTGAGGCATTGCTCTGAGCACCCTTTTCAGAGTTGCATTGGCTGCATTTGATAACCTAGGCCCTGCAAAAACAGCAATGCCCTCCACAGCTTATTAAACCTTTTGCCATTGTAAAATGATGGCATCTACGTAGTTTACACTAGAGAATGGTGCAGCAGAGTTAACTCCCCTCCAGAAAATAAAATAAAAAAAAACTAATGGTGCTTTAAAAATAACCAAGATTTTGGGCTGGGTTATATTTATAGCAGTCGTTGGTCATATGTGGTCCAGGGCCATGTTATGTACTAAGCACATTATTCATACAAATGTGAATTTATTTGGTCCTCAGGACACTCCTATGAGGTTCAGTAGATGAGAAAGCTTGAGGTCAGAGCCAATAAATACTCTGATTCCAGTTTTACTATACTGGATGAACCAAAAAATTTAAGATTTTTACTTAAATGGTAGAAGATGAAAAATTAAGATGTATGTCACCAATATTTTAGTGCTGGTATTATTATTTGACAAGTCTGGATCTAAATTTGCATGTAAAAACTGGTTTTGATACAACCATTTTAAAGAAATTACCCATTTTGTTTCGTCTTTGTTTCCCAGTTTTATAATACATGTAAATATGCAGTGACTTTTTTTTAACAGTTAACTTAAAATCTTTAAGAATAACTTCAGCATTTCACTCTATGATCTATTTATTGCCTTTCGTATACATGCAAACTTACTCCTTCAAAAAGATGGTACAGTGCTTGCCTGCTATCAAGAAAGAAGCTGGACCACATAAAAACAAAGACAAAACAGAAATCTCAGTCGGTGTGAGGTGAGCTGTCTCAGTCTAGGGACTAAGATTCCTTCTGCACAGTCTAACCTGCCTGTAATACTATCTATGTATCATCTCCCCCCTTTTTAATACCTTATAAAATAGTTTCATTATCACCAATAATATATGGCTAGAAAATTCCTCACAAAATGCAACTGTTTTGTGTGTGGCTCAAATCCTAATGTTAGCCTGATTACAGTTTGAGGGTATGTATCTTTTACCAGGCTTATTTGTTTGTGTGTCAGACTGTCCTAAACTATGTAACCCTGAGTGGCCTCTATGTAGACAAGGCTGGCTTCAAACTAGCTAGGAACCTCTGTGTTTCTGCTGTCTGAATGCTGAAATCACTGGGATGATCCACCATACCCATTTATTTAATTTTTAAGTTTTTTTTAAATATAGCAGTGGGCTTGACAGCTGTGTCTCTACACAAACATATACAAGACAAAGCAAGGTGCTAGTTCTGCAAATAATCATAATGCTGTATTTTATATGCATTAAAAAGATATTTGGGCAATGTAAAACCTCAGATACCAACATTAGTTGAATTGAAGATACGATGTTGACTTATGGAAAGGACTGGGAACAATCACAAGACACAATTATGTTGATATTTCATAACTTTAAAAAAAACTAAGCATGTGCTTTCCTAGTGCTGTCATATTTAAGCAATCATAAGAAATGCTTTTCTCTAAGTAAAATAGGGAGAAACTGATCTCTCAAACTGAACTTTAGAAAAACTAAAAATGCAATTTAGAATCTCTTTTATCAAGGTATTAGGTGAAAGCGCTGTGCATGCTCGGAAGATTGGATCTTTTACCACCAAAGTAATATAGGGAATGCTTTGATGCACAGCGGACTGTAATACCCACACAAACAGGTCTGCACTAAACATCAGTTTATGTAAGTGGGAAGCCCAATTTTCCTATCAAAGAGTCTCAAAAAAAAAAAAAAAAGACAGAGGAAGGAACAGAAGATGGAGTCAAGAAAGGTAACCTCTTTTCTATCTCACTTAAGTAAGGTTTTAGAATGGACAGGTCCACTGAACAAGTTGAGCTGTTTTTGCTTATTTGTTTTTTTTTGTGTGTGTGAGAGTATATTCGTGTGAGTGTACATGTATGTATGTGCTGTGTGTGTATGTATGTATGTATGTATGTATGTATGTATGTATGTATGTATGTGTGAATATAAAACATGACCCAAAGTGAGCCTTTTGAGAACAAATTCCTCTGCCACTGTGATCCTTGCCTCTCCAGAGTGCTTTAGATCTTGTGGCATATTCTAGGATCAAACATCCTGGCTCTGTCACCAGCCTGACTTGGCATCCTGTGGCAATTCATTCTTTTTCCCAAGATCCCTGGCCTCTGCTCCAGGTCATAGGCTTTAGTTCCTAATGTTCTAAGCTCTTTTGGAAACAGTATCTCAGGTTCTGGTCCTGGAAGGCTCAGTGAGGACCAATGGATTAAGGACACTGGAATACATAGTGTGGTCTTGTGGCCAGCCTCCTGCTTAGTGGGTTGGAACAGTCCCTGTGACAAATTTGTCTTATGGCAGGCTAGCAGATATCCAAGAAAGACTTCTTAGATTTCTGCTGATAGCCAGTACACTTGATTCTAACCACAACTTCAGAGCCAATGATTTATAATCCATTATCTCATTTAAAAAGCAGCAGGATCATTTTCACCAAGGAGCCTTGAAACTTTGCTATTTCAGTGGCCCGTTAAAATCTTACTGCTGGATCTTGAAAAAAACCTGAATTGAATGTATTGGTTTAATAAGTAGTAGAAAGTGTCTGGCCAAGCTGGAGTTGCTGTGAAATGCATCTGGGTTGAGAGGAAAGCAAGGCAAGCTGGCAAGCCTTCTCTCAAGCCATCAGGGGTGGGGTGTGTGAGGTATACAGTCTTGTGTTACATTTTAGCTTCCAGACAGCAAAGAGATACCAAAGTGGGGGCCTGGTTCTTCACAGCAGTCACCCCGTGACAAGATTTGGCAAATGGGAGTATCATACTGGATTAAGGAGCCAGAAGAGTGTGAAAGAAATGAAAGAGCCACCCCTGCTGGAGGGACTGAAGCTAGCAAACATATTTACTGATAGACGGAAGGTGCCTCTACTTTCTCCACAAGGGAAATCTGCTATAGCACTGATAGCTGGGAAGGGTCCAATAGGCTCTTCCATTCATCATCAGAAGACTGAGAACGATGGCATGTTCCCTTGCCTGAACCTCCTGGTGTTGGGATCCTATGTTAAATTGCTTCTAGGTTGTGAACTATGGCTACACTTGGTCAAACTGGTCATTATTTAAGGGCCTCATGGCTGCCAGGGTATTTAAATTGAGAGATTCTAGATTGGGGACTTCCTTGTGTTCAGACAACTCACATTCGTTAACTCCTTGTTACCCTGAGGACTAAAGTGCATCCCTTGCAGTAACTGGAGGTATACTAAAATCTGTACTTGAGTGTCAAAAGGTCTCTGCTAGCCTACTTCTGTGCTCCCCTCAAGCAAAATCAAAAGTGATGTTAGCATGCTATGAATTCCTCTGCTAAGCTGGGTCAAAGCCTACAGACTGGGTTTTCCAACTGGCCACTTCTAAGTCTGATGCTCATTAAACACACTTTGTCTTGCTCCCCAAGGAAGACTCATGCTTGGGTTTAACTGTATTTCAGTCATTGAACCATTCTTTTAATCAGTCTATTCTATCTTATCAATAAGCAGTGATCCCTGAAAAGTGTGCCCATCCATTTCCTAGAAGCACACATCACCCAGTGTGTTTTCAGACAGAAAAAAAGTCCATGACATATGTCACAACATTTCAACACGAGAAATATAGAATGGTTTCTTCTATGGTGATTCACATATTACAAAATCAACTGTCAAATATTACAGCATAGTTTACCACAGATTCCTTCCAAAATATATTAGCAGTCATTATATGACAGAATTGCTACACAAAGCATATTTTTGGCAAATAAAAACAAACACGCTAATTGAAAGTAAGATTGAGAGAATCAACAGGGGTGGCTTATATACAGATAACTGGGTTTAAGACTCATCTAATAAATTCTAGGAAGCAATAAACTGTAATGAGAGTACTAATAGGTCTTAATAAAAGCCTGGAATCAGATACAGAGGCAAAAGCTGAACGATCAGAGAGATGAAGGAGCATGCCACAGCCTCATCTAACCTCGACAACCTCCCAGCTGAAAAGACACTAGGTTCCTGTTTCCTCCTGCCTGTATTCCTTTTTCTGCTCAGTCATCTCTCTCACTTCCTGTCTGTCTGTTAGCAGTGGCAAGCTCTACCCTCTGATCTTCAGAAATGCTTTATTTGCATAAACAAGATATCACCACAATAAACCATCTATTATATCCTTCAATTTCATGCCTTGAAAGGAAAATCTAAAAATAGACCTTGCAAATTATATAGTATCTATTACTTATCAAACTATATTCAAACTTAACTTCTATAAAATGCCATTTTAATTGAATCAATTACCAGCTAGTAGATCTGCCGATGCTGATGAACTAGAAACAGCCTGTGGTGCTGGTTGGGTTTCAGAAGCACTACTTCCAAATGCATCTATCCATTATCCATTACGCAGCAAGAAAGTAAGAGGGTCAAACAGTAAGTACCCAAGCAATTCAAGAGTGATATATGCAGAGACATGCACAGACATGTTATTCTGTATGGTGAGCCTGCCTCCTGGGTCTCCGTGGAATGACTGGATGAACTGAATCATGATCTAAGCAGTTTGCCTTATTTTGTATTTTCAGACAGAGTCTTAATATGTAGCTTCTGTTTGCTTTGGGCACCTCCCCAAGAGCAGGGATTGCGGGTATGTGCCACAATGCTCTGCTCTATAGAGTTTAGCCTTTTATAGGAGTTCTAGAATGTTTAAGAATTAGTGCCTCACTGTAAAATTAAGATACTTTTCAAATGAGTGTTTCAAAGTAAATTTTATCATTTGTTAAGAACAGAGTTGAGATTTTTAAACTTTTTAAACAAAGGTAAAGCATAATTTTCCATTTAAGCTTCCAAACATTTACTATGCCCAATTCAGCAGCAGATCTTGTTCCTATGTGTTTGAGCACCTTCAGGGGTCTCTTTTTTACACCCTCATATATCCAGCATGACATACACCAGGATGCTTCAGTGACAGTAGAATAATCCTTGTGGTTACAACTTGCAAAGATGCCGTTTTAGCCCAAAGACACTCACTTTTGTGGGTACTCATGATTCACTTCAGACCTGTCTCCTTCCTGCAAGTTTATGGCTAACAAAGAACTTCAGATTTGTCATGCACATACAAAGCAATCAATATAATCAATATAGATTTCTGTTTTCAAATACTACACAAAAAGAAGAAAAGATACATTTGAACCAGAAAAACATCACCAAGTTGGCTGGGAAGACTTAAAACCACTAAACTCAATGTAGATTAACTCCACGGTGTCTGGCTTGTTTTCAATTCTGAATTACCCACGCCATGTTTATATTGCTTTCAAGAACTTAAAGAGTGCTTATGTAACCAACATATCAGCATCTTTGAGAAAACAGTAGAGAGGGACTCCAAGCGGTTAAAAGTCAGTATGAACAAAGAGGCTGAAAACAGGAAACTTCACATGAAGAATGCTCTGGTTTTGTTAGCCATGCACTGATGGTTGTGATAAACCAATGAGGATGAAAGTGATGATGGCAAAGAAATGAAAAAGGCCTGTGCAGCTTTAGGGTTATATGGAAGAGACAAAAGCAACTTCAGAGTCAAAAGAAGCAAAATGAAACAATGAAAGGGGAGAATCTACTCAGAACAAAAACACTTGGCTTGAGTGCTGAAGGAAGAGAGATACGCACCCCCAAAGAGGTCTAGCACACCCGAGGACTCCACCTTTGCTGGAGAGGCAGTGGTTGCAGGAGACGGTGCTGCAAATGTGTCCACTGCAGTGAAGAACAGGGGACAATGCAGGTCACCCTTACTTAGCAAAATGAAACCCAGAGCCTCCACAATGGCCTCAGGATTTCACAGTTACAGGAAGAGGGTGGGGAAATCTTAGCAGTTTAGGAAAGCAAATGATAAATGACTCTTCAGTATTAGAGGCTTTAGTGGAAAACAGAATTTTTCTTTGCCAACCTTACATTTGAAATTATCAACCCTCACCAGCTGGCGATGGGCTGTAGAATGAGAGTCTTCTCTTAAGTGAGTCCTGAGTTTTAAAACATGTAAGACATTATAGGGTACTGGATCATCTTTCCCAACATGAGCTCCCCACCCCCACCCCAGGACCCTCCTGAGAGCTCTGAAGGCTTGACCTTGGCGAAGCACTCACCGGATAAGAGGTCTGCAGTGAGAGAACTCTCAGGCACCGGAGAGGCCCCTCTTGGTGGAGAGGAGAAAGCATCTTCCCAAAGTGAAAGAAACCAAAACCAAGCAGAAGTAAGTAGGAGAAAGCTGAAACCAAACATCACACATCTAGCAAATGCATTATCACAGCAACTACAAAGGGCTTGACCAAGGACACAGCTACAGAAACAGAGTTGAGGAAATGGTTGCTTTGGCTTTACCTGTACCAAACAGGTCTATGCTAGGAGCCACATCTGGCTTAGGTGCTGCAGCAACTTCAGGAGCAGAATCAAACAAATCTAAGACCAAGAACACACAGGCCTTCACTCAGTCTGAAAAATCAAGCCTGTAACAGCATCAATCTCCAGTTTTCTGAAGGAGCATTTTAGAATAACCTTGGGTTAAGCAGTAAATGGTTTCCAGAGAACCATTTAACCACAGTTTTCATGCATAAGAGTCGTGTGTGCATTACAGGACCAGGTTCAAGCCACCAGGCAGGAGAAATTCAGTAACAATGACAAATTACCACCAAAGATATCTAGAGCAGGAGGAGCGGCGGCGGTGGTGGCAGCGGTGGCAGCGGAGGTGGTGGCAGTGGTGGTAGCTGCGGTGGCAGTGATGGTGGCAGCAGTGGTTGCCACAGCGGTGGGAGCAGGAGAAGGAGCAGTTGCGGGAACTGGAGGGGCTGTGCTAGCTGTAGGGGTAACTACAGGAGCGCTGGTCTCAGGCGGCTTCATTGCAAAGAGGTCCAGCTCGGGCGCAGCCTCTGCACTACCTTCAGATGGGGCAAAAGGGTCTTTTGGAAAGGAAAGTGGAGACACACACAGCATCAGTCAGGAAAGAGCAAGAGACAGACTTGTAACTACAGGTAAAAAAAAAAAAAAAAAACAGACACTTCACACACATTTACACACTAGCTAGGCCTCGGGCTACATGGGGTCAACTACTATCTGATTAGCAGAGCTCGGCAACCGGGATGCTTTTCTAAAGGAAAAAGAAAATACAGTTGGTACCACAAGTTGAATCTGAAATATTTTGTAGGGTGCTGTGAGATTAGCCTACGGTTTTGGTCCAGGGGTCATTACCTAGTCAATTTGGTAGCTCTGAAAGTTCATTAAAACATGCCAATATATTTGAACTCAATATCATAAAAGAATGCATTAGAGGGGGGGAAACATTAAGAGAGCATACTTGCACGGAGGAAAAAAAATTGTCAATCTTGAGGAATTGCCAATTTTGATAAGTATGCACTTCACCATCTTAATGTTTTATGTGTTGGCATTATTTACTCAGTTGGGATGAGTGACAGTTGACACTAATAAGAAAATAAAATCAGAAAAACAAAACAAAACAGAACCCATATGGCCACATCTAACTATGTAGGTTTCACATTAGGACAGAGACACAAGAGACCGGCTCATGTGTGAACCCACCATTTCCTGAGCATGCATCAAGAGCTGCAGCAACTGGGGTGGGGGTAGCTGGTGCGGCGGCACCTTCGGATGCTGCAGGGGCCTCCCCAGGAGAAGCTGCAAAGGCATCTTGGGTGCGGTTTTAAAAGTAACAGAAATGAAAGGAATAAAAAGAGAAGAAAATATAGTAAAAGAACTGAGTTAAGTTGTGAGGAAAGCTCCCTTATACAACACGAATGTTTTCATGCACTGTCGGTAATCACAAAACAATTATTCTTTGCATGTCTCCCTGTGAGCTAACACCTGAATGGTGGTCCGTGGATACCACTGAAGGCCATCAGGATCCAACAAGATTCTCATTGTATAAGGGCTCTAAAAAGCATGTTTTATGTTTCATTAGAAATTAATGGATGCAAAAATCAAAACACAAAATAACTTTACTATGTAATTTAAGACATTAAACTTTCATGTCCCGATAATACTTTTTGCTGAATTTTTTCATACCTCTAACTAGTGGCTTCTAGAAAATTTCAATGTCTTTTCTGTATGCAAATACTATTAAATAGTTAATGGCTATGCAAACAAATATTCCAAAGTTAAAACTAGTGTAGTGCAGAGAAAAACAATCCTACTATTAACATGAAAGGTTAGAAGGGATTCAGAAAAGTTGTCACTAACCTTGGAAAGACTTTTCAGATACGAGAGGGACTCATTTTAAAGAAACAATCAGCTAATGAAATTAGGGCATGATGCTTAATGTCTTTATTTCTACTTACATTTATTGTTTTCAAATATTATTATATTTTCTAGTTATTTGGAAAGTGATCCATTTCCAACAGAATAAAAATATAATTTCATGTTTTAAGACTACAAGTCCATTATTTATAGAAGGAACCCCATTAACATAGAGGGAGGCCCGGCTTATATGCTTTTTCTTTTTTACAAAGCTAGGGGTAGGACCCAGAGCTTTGCACGCTACATTCCCAGCCCTAAATACACACTGATGGTTGAGAGATGCAACTCATCCCCCATGTGTGCCCACTAGCAAATCGTATTCACTATGGAGTTAATGCAGAAAGTCTTTAGAAGCAAGAACAAAGATGAAGCCTTCAGAGAATGGCATCCACCCACTTGTACCTACCACTTTTGATCCCCAAATAGGATTGCCTACAGTATCTACTGGCGTGTCCTAGAACACTGACCCTCAGTCCCTAAGAGGAATTGGTCAAATATGTTTGGGAAACATCACACAGTCTAGCTGTTTTCTCAGAGATGCACCCAATGCATTGAGCTTGAGGAAGTGCTGTGGTCAAGGTCCTTGTCTCTCAGGTGAATGCAGCAAGTAAGGAACTTGTCTAGGCATGGAAAATTTAAGCAACATCTTGGGTCCTTATGTTTTGTGGAATAAAAAGGCATTACAAGAGACTCATTTGAATTAAAAGTTTCTTTAAAAAAGTTCACCAACAAAGCTCATAGTAATTTGACCTTATCACTTCTCTCAGCTATTCGGAGGGAATGTATGTTGTGCTGATAGGGGTGGGAACCATGTGAATAACCTGGAGAGACAGTTTACTTCCCAGACACTAGAGGGTTGTGGGCAGCATTAAACCCTAAGGTGGGCAGGGAGAAAGAGGGTAAGAGGGTGGACGCGCTCCCAATATTCTGCCATGGTTCGGGGATCTTTCTTTTCATGCCTATATATCCACAACTGAGGCCAGTGGTACTGAGAATCACAGAAACCTCAAGAACAAATTATTAAATTTAACTTCTGTAACTATTTCAGATGGTGCCTTTTATTATCTCCATTCTGTAAGAAGAAAGCCAAAGTTTGGAGATTTTATGTGTTTGACCCACACAAAAATGATGTGAAGTAATATACAACTTATCTAGCCATTCTGTAATATATAACATACATACCTTAAAGCCTCTTGCTGTACATGAAAATCTATGTAACTTATATTTCTCAGTTGAAAAAGTAACTTGGGTAATTTGATCAAGGCCATACAGGCAGCAAACAGTCAGGTCAGCATTTGGTCCATTACTGCCAGCTGGAGCTTTGTGTGTTTGGACACTAGAATGAACAGTCACAAACCACACCCTCCTTCACTAAACTGCTCACTGTTTCTAGGATGAATGTATTAGTAACAGGGCTCCAGGAGATGCTTGCAGGCCAGGCTCCTCAGGTTACTACCTATGTACAAGTGAAACCTATATTAACAGCTACGTTCTAGAAGAGGTTTCCTTCTCCCCTGTCAGCCATGCATCTCTTTTCAACTGCTCTTCTTAGTTAAGACTAAATAAACATCAGCAACTTAACTTTTGACTCCCATCAAAATTTCTCTTAAAGGGAAGAGTCCTCGCTGCTACCCATGTTATAAATTTCTATCGGATTCTCACCAAAACCTTTCCCAAAGGCATGAATGTGGGAAAAAGATTTTTTTCTTCCACAGTCTGTCCTCTGCTGGGTACCAGGAATGAGACTCGGGTCATCAGGTTTGGCAGCAAGCACCTTTACCATGGGCCATCTCACCAGTCCCCAACTCGGGTATTTTAAAAGAGCAAGGCTGTCATTTATCAGTTATCTGTGGCTTGTATGAAAACTTAAAGCACAACATGTCTTACAGGTCTTATAGTTGTGTTCTGTATGACAACAGAAAGCAGGCTCTGTTTCTTTAAAAATTTTAATTAAAAATAAAAGATTTAGTAAATATAAAACTTAAATGAACTATTCACATAGAATAATAAAACTTATATAGATATAAATCTGAATATTTCTTCCAAACTCTCATTTCAAGTGTACTTAAAGGCATAGATTTTTTTTGTTTGTTTGTTTTTTGAGACAGGGTTTCTCTGTGTAGCTTTGGAGCCTATCCTGGCACTCTCTCTGGAGACCAGGCTGGCCTCGAACTCACAGAGATACGCCTGCCTCTGCCTCCCGAGTGCTGGGATTAAAGGCTTGCACCACCAACACCCGGCAAAGGCATAGATTTTTAATGTTTATGATGTTTAATGTTTTAAAAACTTTCATATTCATGAAATTTCATAGCCATACTTTAGTCAAATTGAAACTCACTATGCTTATTTCTAGAGAAATCTATATTGCTATTGACATCACATAGAAACGCATGAGAGTATGTTTGATATCTTTGAGCTAGAGGTCTTGCTCTGTAGCTCAGGCTGGCCCAGAAATTACTGCACAGCTCTGGGGGGGCTCAAATTTGTTACTCTCTTCCTACAGCCTCCCCAGTGAGACTAACACATCTGACATGAGGATATATTTTAAAGTCATTTAAACAAAATGTGGCTGGTACCCTCATTTGAGTTAAAATTCTTATCCATCTTAGAGATCTCAAGTATTTTAAAGTGGTCAACAAAATGGCCACAGAGATTTAAGTTTAGGATTCTTAATGATTTGTTATAAACCAAGGAAGAATGTGAAACAAATTGGGGAGAAAATTACTGAAGACTATAAAAGACGCAATGGTGTACACAGATATTGAACTGTGGCAGACAGAACTTTTCCAGATGTCTGAGGCCAGGAGACAGTTCACAGAGCTACGCAGAAAAATAAAATGAGACTTGCAGAAGGGCTCATCTTTACTCATGTCCCTGCCAGATGGCAGAAGGGACACTGATGAAAACACATGGCCGCTGGTTCTTGGTATTTCATAATGTGACCTTGTAGTACCTCATCTTGACACTTGCATTTAAAGGTAAAAATAATGCCACCATGATAGTATTTGCAAATATATGGGTTTTTCTACTTGACCAATACCAATCCAAATATCATAATGGCTCAAGCAATATTTTAAAGAAACATCTTGGACTTCATTACTCTGGAAAGATACAAAAAAGCAGGGCAGACTTGCCTGGTGTCTGAGAGGTAACCAAGCTCCTTTCATGTGAATTAAAAAGTAAATTTCAATATAGCAGCAGGTATAGAAATGCTGCAGTCTGCCCCGATCATATTTTCCATTGACCTTGCATGAGAAACCACTCTGACTGACTTAATGCCAGCAGTGGGGTTGGAGAGAGGAAGAGTGAAGGAGTTAACTTTATAAATTTAAGCTAAAGCATCAACAACAACCAAAAATTAGCCTTAAATGATTAGGGTAACACTGACAAAGAGCATTGTGTTCTGAGTGGTTCCTGTTAGTAAAACTCTCAAGGGTCTGCAATTGTGTCTCTTCTGCTTCTTAAGAAACAGGTGTCCCTCTGTCAGCATGAAGATGCAGCAAGGTGACAGACAATTTCTTTGATGAAATTGTGACAGAAAGGCTGTGTCTAGCTAATACTACCTGTCTTGGACTGCTTCAGCATCAAGGATACTGCACAGAGAAAAGTGACATGAGTCTGTGTAAATGCTCACATAGCAGAGGGGTGTGTGTCTGTGTAAGTACTCACACAGCAGAGGGTGTGTGTGTGTGTGTGTAAGTGCTCACACTGCACAGGGATGTGTGTCTGTGTAAGTGCTCACACAGCAGAGGTGTGTGTGTGTGTGTGTGTGTGTCTGTGTAAATGCTCACATAGCAGAGGGGTGTATCTGTGTAAGTGCTCACATAGCAGAGGGGTGTGTCTGTGTAAGTGCTCACACAGCAGAGGGATGTGTCTGTGTAAGTGCTCACACAGCAGAGGGATGTGTCTGTGTAAGTGCTCACACAGCAGAGGGATGTGTCTGTGTAAGTGCTCACACAGCAGAGGGATGTGTCTGTGTAAGTGCTCACACAGCAGAGGGATGTGTCTGTGTAAGTGCTCACACAGCAGAGGGATGTGTCTGTGTAAGTGCTCACACAGCAGAGGGATGTGTCTGTGTAAGTGCTCACACAGCAGAGGGATGTGTGTGTCTGTGAAAATGCTCACACAGCAGAGGGGTGTGTGTCTGTCTAAGTGCTCACACAGCAGAGGGCTGTGTGTCTGTGTAAGTGTTCACACTGCAGAGGGGTGTGTGTGTGTGTGTGTGTGTGTGTGTATGTGTGTGTGTGTAAGTGCTCACAGAGCAGAGGTGTGTGTGTGTGTGTGTGTGTCTGTGTAAGTGCTCACATAGCAGAGGGGTGTATCTGTGTAAGTGCTCACATAGTAGAGAGGTGTGTGTGTGTAAGTGCTCACACTGCAGAGGGGTGTGTGTCTGTGAAAATGCTCACACAGCAGAGGGGTGTGTGTCTGTCTAAGTGCTCACACAGCAGAGTGGTAAGTGTCTGTGTAAGTATTCATCTCCAGGGGAATGTACTGATTTCACCATCACCCGCCAAACCTCTCCTGGCTTCACCATCACGTGCTTCCTTCAATTTCTTTACAATATTTTCAAAAGGCCCTGGAAATATTCTATATGGTAATGAAGAAACATGAGACTATAATGAGTCTAACACTCCCTGGATGTGAGTATGTGGTCCACACATTTCTCTGAGTTTGCACCATGGCTCCCGCAGATGCAAACAGTAGATGAACTAGCTTCTGATGTCCATTGTGTTTGGGCATATCGCAGGATATTTCACTGCGTCAGAATTGGCATCCACATGGAAAGCATATTTCAGTACAATCCTTTCCAAGACTGACCTGTACTTGTTTTTAATCAGCATGCCAAGTGCTGCTTCAGATGGCCTCTCACAGTTCCAGAGTCAAGATGGCCTTACATTTTCCTTGGACACAACAATCAAAAGTAGCTATACCAGTCAACTCTCTGTTGAGCCATCCAAATTTTAATTCCTCTCAGACAATTCAGACAATTTGTTTTTGTTTGTTTTTTGTTTGTTTTTGTTTTTGGTCTAAATGTTAAGAAATTATTTAGGCTAGGACTGCTCTCTCATGGTCTTCAAATGGTCCCTAGGCTGGTTCTAATATGGCTCCAAAGTCACACCTAAATGTGTCAGAAGCCTGGGATCACTCACAGAGGCCCAGTGGGGAGGGCATGTGTGGGCCAGAGCCTGGCAGCAGCTCAGATGCTGATGTAAGATCCAGTGTGCTCAAAGGGCCGCAGCTTCTGCTCTAAAGGAGCTAAAACTATAGGGAGAGAAGCCGATGACTTTAGCACAGTCAAATCTATATGAACCAACACTGGGAAAGTACTTCACTCTGCCATGTTGTTAACACAGTGTAAGGCAATTCAAACGTCCTAAGTCTCAGGGACGTCAGCCATCTTGAAAGGAAAGGAAGGAGTAGTGGTGTGACTGACTAACCTCCAAAGAGATCCACTTCCGCAGTGATAGCCGTCACAGTTGTGGTGGTCGAGGCAGAAGCTGAAGCAGTTTCAGTGGTTGCAGTAGGAGGGGGAGGCTCTGGTGCAAATGGGTCTGAGATCGGTGCTTCAGAGGGAACAGAGGACAGTGCTGCCAAGGAATCTGTATTTTACCAGAGACAGAGCAAAGGGGAGAGGAAGAAATGGGAGGGGGCAAAAAAACAAACACAACAAGAAAGAGAGAGAGAGAGAGAGAGAGAGAGAGAGAGAGAGAGAGAGAGATCTTAAAGGCCACAGGAGGACAGCTGAGGATGGCTCTCACAGGAGGAGTTAGGAAACAAGGCTTTACTCACCCTCTCCCAGAAGGTCTGCCGATGTCCAGGTGGTGGCAGCATATGAAGAAATAAGAGTCCCAGCTGAAACATCTGACTGTGCCAGCGTGCAAGCAGGGCAAGGCACGGGCTCACATGAACTTTCTGTGCCTCCCCAGACCATTTGCCATTAGAGGACAAACGCATTGCCAACTCTCACCATGGAACTTAAAGCAGGAAGAGACCCTAGGCAATCTCCAGACCAAGCTACCCAAGTTACAGATGGAGAAACAGAGGGCAAGGGAGGTCAAGAGACTACTTAAATAACTTTGAAAAACCCAATCTATATCCACAAAGAGCTTTTCACCCCCATTATCCCCTGTGTATCCCCTTCACCTGCTGTGACTGGCGTCATTAATCTACAATTAGCAGAATTTTGTTGACAGTTCTTTTTTTCTTTTTCATCTCTGCCCACTCTCCATCCATGAGACTGGGTTCCCTATGTAGCCTAGGCTGCTTTCTTATAAAACTCAGAACCACCTGTTGAGGGGTGGCCCTGACACATCAATCATTAATCAAGAAAGTGCCCCACAGACTTGCCTACAGGCCTGTCCAATGGAGGCCATACTTTAACTGAAGTTTGTGCCAAGATGACAGAACTAACCATCGGCAAATCTTTCTTAGTAACAGTGTCAGCGATTAGTCTTGAAACCACTATTTGAAAGGATTAAACCATAGACACAAATTAAAGTAAGAGAATTCAATTCATTTATAAGAGACACATAACCAAAGGCCCCTTTGCATTATAAAAATGGCTAGAAATAGTTCACTGTAACAAACAGAAGTTAAGTCTCACAACAAAGAAACTGGCATTCTTTAGTGAGCTACAACTGGATTGTTTCAAGTTACTCTGAAGGTTAAATGTGCTCATTCACTTGAAAGGCATACTCATCCCTGGAACACATCAAATGTTCCATAAGGAAAGCTAGGAGTATGAACTTCAAAGTGCCTATAAACCTTCCAGTGTCAGGTGTGTGTAGTTGGACTGCCTACAGACTCAAACCCCAGATTCTCTTAATGTGGTGGGAAGAGGGTCACAGAATCCATTTGTAGTACAGCAAACTATACTAGTGGGAAATATTAGTTATATTATCTCAGTATTATTTTTCAAATGCATGTTGGTTATTAAATTTTATTAAAACCCTCACCACAACTTTACACTTCTCAAAAAGCAGTTGTACGTATTTATGAGAAGAAACTGAATGCCTTTCTAGTTAGACACAGACTCAAAACCACTCATTTACTTTTGCTTCTGAAACGCAGATTTATTATGAAGAAAAGAAAATATTCTTTCTATTATGAAGGCAAAGGTAAGGATTTCAAAACATCTGTTTTTTTTTTTTTTTTTCGTGTCAATGGGCTTGTTATTAGTCTGGTTAAAAACTAAATTTATATGCAAATTTAAAATAGATTTATTTAATATGACTTTGCTGAAATTTTGTTGTCTTATACTAATATTAAAAAAATTATCATTAAAATGTGTCTTCTGAAATGGAAATGTATCAATAGCTATAACCCTACGAAGAATTCATGGACTTCTGAAGTCCTCTTCATCTTTGCATAGTGAAACCCTTTCAGTAAAGGTCAGATAAAAATGCTCCAACAAGCTTCAGAGTTCGTATTTTACTGTCCAGTTATATAAAATTTAAATAGTACAACATTCAAAAGCAGATGTGGCTTGATGTTGGGAAATAAGACTGGAAAAATTGATTTTGTACTTTACTTAGTCAAATGAGGCAAATACATCTGCAAGGAAACATCACCCTTAGCACCAGCAGGTATCTACAGGAGAAAAGCCGGGAAGTGAAGACTACTTTCCTATTTCACTTTATGTTTCTCAAGTTTTATGAGTTTTATTATTTTTCTTAGAAATTGAGAATTACTTATCAATAAACCTCCCCCTCAGCTCTTCTGTTGCTATTGAATGCTGCAGTTCTGGCTGTTTGAGACACAGATGCTGTCTATCCAGGCAAGCAGGCCTACAGGGCCTCCCAGTTTACTAGGGTCTTTGCATTGATTATGAGACGGGCTCCCTCTAGTGAGAAAGGTTAGAAAAAAGAAATCACTTCAAGGGCAATGGTGAAGGTCACCAAATGGTTCTAGCATTTAAAAGCGTGAACACAATATTGAGAGCCTGTAGACACCAGGAAACTAGAAAGAGGCCATTTAGAGTAGGGTAATGTCTGAGGAAATAGACTGGGCAGTCCTGGGGCTAGGAAGCTTTAAGTAGGAAGAGGGTGGTACGAAGGGGAGATCAGAGGACTAGGTGGAGGGTTAACCTAAAAAATAAGGGGTATGGAAAGCCATATTGAAACCTATTATCTCCTAACTGAATTTTAAAAATATAATTTACCTTTAAAAAAGAGTTTGAAGGAAATAACCTGCACGGATGGGAAAAGCTGCTACTAGGTGAGAAGTCTCCTGACAACTTATTAATCAAGGAGACCACAGAGACTCTCCATGCAATACAGCCTCCGGCATTTCATCTTGGTTCCCCACCAGTATGAGATAATAGGGACCCAGTGCTGAAGATACTATATACCTTGGTTGTATGATACAAAACAATCAAGCCAGAACTGAGCTGTAAGTTTCCTCTCTGCTGGAGAGATTTCATAGTCCTAGAAGGTTCTATATTAGCTGCTGGAGCAGAAAAGCCATCAAAAGACTTACCCAGGCAATGTGCCCATCAAGGTGTACCTAAATGTGCAAGAGTGGCACTACTATTTGAGGTAACCAACTAACTGTGCTCCAGTAAGACTTAAGGGTCACTCCACAGAAGGGAATCTATGCCTGGTACTGTAAAGCTCATCAAAAACAAGAACATGGGCCTTAAGGGGAAACTGAATACTGTTGTTTAGTTGAATTGCTACAGAGTCAAATTACCTTATAAGTGTTTATGTTTATGCCACAGACAAATGCTACTCTCAGCCTTAATGAGAAAAGCCTGTCTTCCAAGTGAATGGTGGTCAATGCACAGACTCATGGCTATACAGGTATTGAGAATAAGTATCAGATGAGTGCTTAGCCCCTTAATGAGGCATTTATTGGGTCCCCTTTAAGGCTCAGAAAGGCGGTGAAAAGAATGCAAAAGCTAGACAATAGAAAGATTTGAAATGACATCATCAAGCAATACTAAGCCACTGCATTCACAAACTTCACAGCAGCTGTGAATGCCTGCATTGGGTCTATATAAGAATAAATCCCTCAACAGTGAGGCACTGGAGCGAGGGCTGGGGGTGCTGCAGCTACTCTTCAAATAGCTAAACGATTTGCTGCTGACAGATTTGGGAAAGGAGGACTCAATGCCTTCAGTCGTGTATCCTCTGGTGGCCTCCGTCAGACTCCGATGCATAGTTCCAATCTAATACTCATACAGTTGGTGCTGATTAAAATAAGTAAGTCACAAAGAAAAGGCAAAGCCATGAATCTGGGGAAAGGGATGGTTGGGATGGGGAGGTCACAGGTGCGACTATTGTGTTAGGTAGTGTTTTTGTCAACTTGACACAAACTAGGGCTATCAGCTGAGAAAATGCCTTCATCGGATTGGCCTATAGGCAAGCACACAGCCATTTTTATGGTTAATGATTGATGTGGGAGGGCCAACCCACCCACTGTAGGTGGTGCCCCCCCCTGCCCCCGGCAAGCCGTCTTGGATGGTATAAGAAAGCAGGCTGATCAAGCCAGCAAGCAGTGTTCTTCCATGGCTTCCTGCTTCCAGGTTGGTGCCTGACTTCCCTTTATGTTGGCTGTAAGCTGAAGTAAACATCCCTCCCTAAGTTGCTTTGGGTCCTGGTGTTTTACCACAGCAATAAAAAGTGAACTAAGAGATATGGGAAGGAGGGAAGAATGGGTTTGGGGGTAGAAATTAGAATATATTATATACATCTATGAGACTGTTAAAAAACAATTAATTAATGGAAGTATGAGCACACACTGACTTAAATGCATGGCACAATTAAAATGACAATTCATTTAATAGCCAAAAGTCTTTTTTTTATATGAACCAACAAATTTGTAACTAAAACCAAAATTTTAGTTATAAGAGTTTCATTAAGTATTTATGAGTTTCATAGCTGAGAAAAATCTAACTTGAGGGTCTGGATCTGAAAAGTTATCAAACAGGAAAACACAGTACATTGTGTAAATGAAACCATTAGCAAACCAAAATAAAGTATTTAAAAGCTGAAGCTCAGAATAAATGAGTGTTCTCATGAAGAAAGCCCTTAGGCTTCGGCAACAGCTTCCTTTCTCAATCAAAGGCAATAAAGTTAGATGAAGTTTAAGCAGCAAATTTAAACATTTAATAGCTGTAGCCTTAACAGTTGACTATTCAGTATAGGGGAATATTTAAATGTTTAAAATGTTCGAATTTATAGCTGTCGACTTGAGTTCTGAGCTGCTTATTATTCTTTAATTTTGTTATCAAACCCTGGGTAATAAGACAAAGAGATAACAAAGACCCAAGGATGGGCAGACCCAGGAACAAGTGGGTAACAGTTACCAGTGAAGGAGCCAGGAGGCCCCTTCCTGTCCGGATGTTCTGATTTCTTCGCCTCACCCACAAACTGGGGCTGAATCCTCCCCTGGGATCCTCCCCACTGCAGTCAGTATGGTTAGGGTTTCTGGCCACTGGCTTTGCAATAACATAGCTAATGTGCTACAGCCTCCACATTCCTAGAGAGAACGCTGCCAGCCAGAATGTACTTCCGGTGTTACAGACATGCTTTTAATAGGCCCACCCAGCAACCATTTAATTATCTAGGGCAACATTTGACTTTGTTACTTACAGTTAATTAAGGACACTGATTCTGAAATGTTGTATTAAATTACATAGTATCATAGTAATAAAAATATTTTCTGCCTGGGAGGCAAAGTAACCTAGACACCATAAGTTTTAGTGCATCATTGCCTGACAAAGCTTTGTATGGAACCTAAGCAACTTAGTCTAACATTTATGTGTGGTGGTTTGAATAGGAATGGCCTCCATAGACTCAAGTGTTTGAATGCTTGGCCTATAGGGAGTGTCACTATAAGGAGGTGTGGCCTTGTTGGAAGAAGTGTGTCACTGTGGAGACAGGCTTAGAGGTCTTACACACTCAAGCTACTCCCAGTACCATACATAGTCTCTCTTTCTGCTGCCTGACTATGGAGACGTAGAACCCTCAGCTCCTTCTCTAGTACCATGTCTGCCTGCATGTCACTACTGTACTGACTGACATGATAATGAACTAAACCTCTGAAACTGTAAGTCATCCCCAGTGAAATGCTTTCCTTTATAATGCTGTGGTCATGGTGTCTCTTCATAGCAACAGGAACCCAAACTAAGGCACTATGCAAACCCCTATTAATATCCAGTTCCTCAAACACTCCAAACCTGCTTTATCATCTATCAGTTTTTCTTTCTTTTAATTACTAAGTTTTTTCACTATGCTTTTTTCACATTTGTGTCATATCTTAAACTCCCTGAAAATTTTATTGATAGCTTGCTGTTGTAGAGCATAACACTTACAAATATTTTAATTTTGCTTTATCTTAAATCCATTTAATCCAATGCTTATGAAAATCTGTTTTTTTCTGAGATCTGTGAATCAACTTGAATCTAAATGCCTAGCTGTGTTTCCTCTCAGTCAATCAGTGTAGGATAGATGTTTTCTGATAACAATCAAGAGTACTGCAGATTTCAATTCCATGAAGTCAGATACAATGTGAATAACAACACCAACACAAGCACTATAACCTTCTAATGTAGCCATTTCTAGAAAATAATTACTAAGGGCAAGTTTTTAGAAACACACAAAAAATACTTCTTTTGTTTCAACTTTAGATAGTATATGGCTACTTTAACTTTTAAACTGCATTGTGCAGAATTCCTTTCAAGTATACACTTTGATAAGCTGAAGCCATTCTGAGCGTTTCCCACCACACTTCTAATACAATTGCTGATAATCAGAATGCACATATAATGATAACAACCCAGATTAAAACAGCCACAGGAAATGCCCCAAGATCCCCAGGCCCATTTGACTCACTCACCTCCCCATGCAGTGGCTCCCCCAGCCGATGACGGTGGTACAGGCGCGGCTGCGCCCCCAGTTGCTCCAGAGAAGTCTGGCTGAAGATCAAGGAGATCGCTCGATGGCTTAGCAGCACTGGAAGGAAAGCAGACCTTCACAATCCGACTCTGAAATACTATAAAGTGTCTTACAACAAAGACCTATGCAAACAATATCAAAGACTTGTGTGGTGTGCACAAAGGCTTGGAAAATCACCATTGTAAAGCAAAAGAGGGGAAATACAAAGCACTTTGTAAAGGACTTTAAGGGCCAGGTGGTCTTTGTCACTCAACTCTGACAATACAGAAGAAACCAGTCACCATGCTCCATCTCAATAAAACTTTATTTGTAAAAACAGGTGGTAAGCTGGCACACACAAAAAAACCCCAAAACTTTGAGGTTATCTTTTTTTCTATTTTTTTATGTAGAAAAAATTGTCTTAAGAATCTATAAACTATCTATATTATTAAAACGAGTGACAGTTAATTTATTTTTCCCAAAATTAGATGATAATACTTTAAGTTTGCCTCTCAGTGGGCTCACCTTACTTTGAATAAGCTTTTCAAAATGTATTTATCGGTGCAAATTCCAAATAGAAGCCTAAGCTTTGCTGGTCAAAGCATGGGTTCAAAACTCCGAGTGTCCTAGAATTTTATTCAAAATGCAAACTTTCAGGCTTAGGTTGTTGTTACTTCATTAGAATCTTTATTTTAACAAGACTCTCCTATGATTCTTGGTTACATTGGATCTGAGGAGCATTGACTAGAGGCTAAAAACCCTCAAGAGTCCAGTTATGCTTCTGGCTTCGTCTTTACTCTTTTACTTGGTAGATGCCCAAGCAACATTCTGCTGAAGAGAGGAGCCTGGTGATTTTAAACCCTGAAGGCATTGCTTAATTCCCAAGTCTGCTTCAGTAACAGACTTAAACACAATTGTGCTAAATAGCAGAAAAGGGAAATGTATTTATTATTAAAAGCTTAATCAGGGGCATGTTTGGGGTTCAGGGTTTGACTCCAGCACCACACAAGTAAGACTATAAATAAGAAACAACTTAATTAAACTTTTCATAAGAAACAATTTAATTTGGTGTGTCAACACAAAGCACTTGGTTTTGCCAAGTGTATAAAGGAGAAGTAAGCAAGTGTATTACACAGTAAACATAGGAGCATTATGTAGATTCATTGCTGCTTAACGCTAGCTAAAGCTTCTCAAAAAAAAAAATCGAAGCCTCTAGAATGCATTCATAAGAGAGTCACAGTCAGTCTAAAATGAGGTTAGAATCCTCACAGTGAAAGAAAGAGGCAACCCAAAATTGTTATCTGTGGAAGCCCTTATGTGTCAGTGACTTGTTTCAGGCAGCTCTGAGGTCTTAGCCATCCCTTTTTTCCTAGGGCAGCCAGGGTATCACAGTTGATTGGGAACATTCCACCGGTGTCTTCTACCACCTTAGCTGAGTTCCTTCCAGGGCCAAGTAATTAGCCTGTACCCTCGAGGTTTACTCCACAGACAGGGTTTTATTACATAGTGCAGTTTGGATCCTAACTGGTTAATGTAGTCCTGACTGGCTTTGAACTCATGATCTCCCTGCCTCTGTTTTCTGAGTGCTGGGAATGCAGGCATGCTCTGCCACACTGATAATGGCTTTGAAGCACTTTGAAACACCTAAGTTTCTCACAGGAAGAACTGACTTTTATTAGATACTCTGCATAGCATGCAACCTCAGAAGGATCTTCCATATGTTCCCCTAAATTTATGAGTGACAGCATTGGTCTTCCCAAGGACCTAAGGGGTACAGGCTTAAAGTCACTGTAAGAGTCCCAAAGAACTTACTTTATACTACAAAAGTAACCCCCAGTCACACAGTATCAGGACTGGATTTTGTCTGGCAAAATTGTTTGGCATCAGTACAGTACAGAAAAATACAACAAAAACTGAATCAAAGTATTAATGATCAGTTGGCTACATACTCATTAACTGACCTGACTGGGACAGCTGCAGATGCTGTTGCAAATAAGTCAACCGGTGGGGATGTGTCGATAGTTTTAGCTGGTGTAGAATTAGGAGATGTAACAGTTGTGACTGGAGAAGACTGAAAGTGAAGAACACAACACAGGCCTGTCAAATACTCATCTAAACCTCACTGAGCAATAGGGCTTTGGCCTGCAGACCCATGGCATTCTAAGCATTTATTCTGCAGTTCCTCACAGGAGGGAAAGCTTGAGAGATATTGAAACCAAGAACTGTAATAATCACTATGGGCCAAATACACCTTGACTTTGAACAGCTAAATATAACATACAAAAAATTTTTGTTAAAATATTTGGTGTAACATTAGAGTGACTTCTATTTGTATATTTAAAATCAAGCTAAACATATTTATTGAATTTAAAATTATTAGGAAACTAGCTGTCAAAATAACTAAAGGTGACAACAACTGCTACAAAGCCAGTATTTTTTTTTCTCTCATCCTGATATACTTCATGTGAAATCCTTTCAGGCAACTTCAACATCCGGGCAGTTAACACATGTACTTCATAGTTAGCAAGGAATAATTCACATTCAAGATTCAAGTCCCTTGCAATCTGAGGATATTGACTATATCTTATCATACTGTGAAATAAAAGTTTTAAGGCGAAATGAAATGTAAACCTCTGGGTTGAGAAGATGGCTCTGTTTGTAAAATGCTTGCTATGCAAACACAGGGACCTGAGTTCTGTCCCCTAGCATCCATTTAAAAAGCCAGGTATTGTAATATTGTAGTATGGGTGTGTAACCCCAGCAGAGGACAGGGGGCAGAGAGGTGGAGCTCTGGATCCCACTGACCAGCCAGTTTAGACAGATCCGTGAGCTCTGGGTTCAGTGAGAGATCCTGTCTCAAAAAAAAAGTAAAGCAGACTTAGAATGAAGAAGAAACCTGACATCAACCCCTAGCTTACACACACACACACACACACACACACACACACACACACACGAACAGGTCATATATATACAGCACACACACAATTGTTTTTTTTTTTTAACAAGATTTTGCTGTGTAGCTCTGGCTGTCCTGGAACTCACTCTGTAGACCAGGCTGACCTCAAACTCGAAGAGATCTGCCTGCCTCTGCCTCCCAAGTGCTGGGATTAAAGGCGTGCACCACCACAATCCAGAAAACACACACACACACACACACACACACACACACACACACACACACACCTTGTTTTCTATAATTCTATAGAGATGTTAATATTTTATTTTTTAGAAAATTAAGAATTTTGTGGTCACTATTCTAATTCTATTTTTTCTAGTATATTTGATTTTCCACAAATAAAATGCATGAACATCAGTATCAAGCTGAGGCTCTGCCACCCAGTTTCAAATACAACAAATTTAAAGGAAGCTTTTTCAAAAAATTATTTATTTTTACTTTATATGCACTGCACCAATGTCTGTGTGAGAGTATTGGATCCCCTGGAACTGAAGGTACAGACAGTTGTGAGCTGTCATGTGGATGCTGGGAATTGAATCTGGGTCCTCTAGAAGAGCAGCCAGTGCTCTTAACCACTGAGCCATCTCTCCAGCCCTAAAAGAAACTTTAAAGAGTCACAAAAACCACTTTGAAACAAAGGATGAATTAGAAAGTTATGGGAAATTCTGCCATTTCAAGAATGGACTGGATTTACACATGCCACAAAATAATCATGACATCCAAGTTTAATAGGTATGCCAATTTTTGAGTACTGTGGAGAAATAAACACTGGAACAGTATGGCTACTGCTGCTGGGAATAGCACAACTAAATTCTCCCTCTGTAACACAAAGGTGAAGGCTTCCCAATGGAACAAAAGAGAAACACTAGCTACACAGCTAAAGGCAAATTATTCACACTGGACACTCACTGCTCTTTTTGAAAAAGGGAAAATAAAAATTAAATTTTTAACTAAAACTTAGAAAAAGTGATGGTATATAAAGTAGCAGAGAGAAGGTAAGGACACCACATATACTACCAATGTGGATGCAGAAATTAAAGTGGGTAAAGGCAGCTCATAACAAATACCGTGTAACAAGGACCCCTGATGCAATGAGAGAGCTCAGAAAATGCAACGCCAATAAACACCATTATTATGCAAAACATCAAAAAAATTTTATCTAGGTAGAATGTCAAAAGAGATCGTCCTAAAGGAATCCTGATTCAGCCACACTAAGGAGCCATAAGCTGGACATTTTCACACAGACAGCATGATTTTAATGGTTTCTTTCTGTATCAGAAAAGTTGAAAAGTTTTCTGCTTAAAATTGTTTTCCAGGCCCTGTGAGAATTTAAACAGCCAGCCAGGCACAGGCAGAGCATATGCTATTTGGGAGTGTCTGGCACAGTCATAATGGCATCCTTGAATGTCTGTAATGGCAGCAATTACATAATGGAGAAGAAAAAGCACATCTATTACACCTCTGCCTGGAAAACCCACTGGCAGATGTGAAATACAGGCCCATGAGAGTACATGCTCTTGTCAGGGAGAACCCTACCATTGTCCTTGATCGGCTCTGAATGAGGGAGAGCTGAAGGAACTGCTGTGATTACTCTAACAGGCATGCTTGGGGCAAAGACACCTACTAACAATCTTTTTTCCGTATCACTAAAATACACACAACACCCTGCTCCTGATCTATGTCATAGATTCACGACACGTGTAAAGAATTTTTAATTAGCAAGACATTATACAGATGCATATGGATTCAGCTGTCACACAAGTACAAGAAAAACTTACCTATTTAAGAACTCAGAATCTAGGAGAGCTGAATCAATATAAAGATAACTTAATCTTTTCGGCGGGTGGGGGGGTTCGGATATAAATCAAGCGATCCACCTGTTTTAATCCTATGTGCATACCCAAAATAAATTTAAGGTAGAGTCTCAAACATATTTTTATACATATTTCTTAAGAATTATTTTTTCTTTTTATTTATATGTATGTGTTCCTGATTGTCTAAGTACCACGTGCATGCAGCGCTTGCAAAGGCCAGAAGAGGGCATCAGATTCCCTAGCAACTGGAATCACAGGAGGTGTGAGCCACTCAGTGTGGGTGTTTCAAACTAGACTCTGGTCTTCTTCAAGAGCAGCAGTTGCTCTTAACCACTAAGCCATCTCTCCAGCCCCTCGATCAGACATTTCACACTATACTTTATGTCAGTATTGTCTGTCATATGTCATACTTAAAATCTGGAATAACTCAAAGACCTATTGAAGGAAAAATAAACTTGTGTGTGTGTGTGTGTGTGTGTGTGTGTGTGTGTGTGTGTAAAAGAATTAAAAAAAAAGAATGTTATTCAACCTTAAAAAGAAAATTTTGGCCTATGAGGCCAGGCTGAGTCCTAAAGACACATTAAGTAAAATAAATGGATTAAGAAAGGCCAGCCTGTCTGGATCCACTCAGATGAGGTATCTTTCTTTATAGATGTAGAAAGAATGGTACTTTCCAGGGGCTGAGGTCAGGAGGCATGGGGTGTTACTGTTTCATGAGTCTAGACTTTCATTTTTGATGAGAGAAGTCCCGAGATTGAGGAAGATGTCCCGAGAGTGTGTGACATGACTGCTGTATTGCAGAATGAATACACATGGTGCTTCGAACTTCACACTGAATGAAGCAACATGTAAAAGGAAAACACCCTGAGAAACAAACCAACTTACCTTACTTAATGGAGAGGGAGCACCAGATCTAAAAGAAACACAAGAGAATGGAAAGTGAGTGCACCTGAGCGTGTTTGCAGAAGCATCAAGTTTGGTGCCTCATCACCCAGCGTCAGGATTATTTTCAAGGAGCTCTTTATAGCCAGAGGAGCTCACAACACTTGTCTTTCAATGAAGTCCTTTCCCCAAGATTTCCACTCTCGAGTCACTATTGTTTATGTTCACAAAAACCACTGTAAAAATTTCTAAAAGTTCCCCAAGGTTTGTGAAAAGGCACATTATATAAACTTTAAAAAAAGGAATACCTATACGTTATTTCAAAAGTTAGAAAGCTCAAAATGAAAATCATATGTTACAATGCATTTAATTTCAACTCTTATGCATAAAAGAAGGAACCCTAGAGAAAAAAGACAAGATCCCTGTGAGCAAGTGAGCTAGACTCAACATGCACGACCACACTCCTGTAGCTTGTATGTGTTATTTTCATGCCTGTGATGAAAACTCTTCAGGGAAAATATTTCCATATGTTTGTCACAACTAGTGGTTGTTTGAAAGAGAAGAGCGACTTCGATGATTATTTCTGAGGGAATATTAAGGAACAAAACAGTCTATAAAGTTAACACTGATTCTAGCACACGCTGCAGAAGGCCACACTTCTGAAACATCTGCCTCAACAGCTTACACTTCCCTAACCTGGGGTGGCATAAAATGAATAATAAGAAAAAACTGAAGGCAAAGTGTACTTCAGTAAGCAGCGGCAGCCAGGGTCAGCTGTAATGACCACTTTCGTTCAGGAGCAAACACAGTAGATAGTAATTGGGATTTTGTTCAATACTATGCAAATTCCACCTAGTTACAGACACTATATACCAGCTACTACTACCTTATGCATGCCTACAACGTCCCATTTCAAAGGCTCTACTGAAGTGAAGAGACTTGACAGAAAAATGGACATAGGAACCTAAGGATCTAGTACACCATAGGGTTGAAATATCACCAATTTTTGGCTAACCTTTGCCCCACTTACATCATTTTCCTTCATATGTATGGAAAATATCATATGAAAAAATTAAATAAGAGGGGAAATTATAACTTAATAAACATAATGTTTACTTGGCAAAAACAAACAAGGAAACCACAAACTTATTCTCAGGAAGTGACCATGTCACTTTTTCTCTCAGCCAGTTCTTCATGGTACTGCTATGATGAAGCATTGGATATAATAAGCAAGAACTCCTGAAACCTTTGCCAGCCAATGAGCACATGTGAAAAAACTGACAGAAAGCTGCCCTCTGCTGTTAAATGACTCAACCTCAAGCTGTGTGAAAGAAAATCATAATTGGTATGATCATCCTTTGCAAAATCCCACAGGGACACTCTTACTAGTGCCTGTGGCTGTCCATGGAATAAACAGACACAATGAGAATGGATGGTCCCTCCAGAGTCATCAGGACATGGCTGATTCCACTTCAACTATATCTCATCACATTCATCACTGGGGGCTAAGTTCTAACACATCCTGCTGTTTTATTACCTGAGCACTTTATACAGTGTCTAGCATTTTTTTGGGGGGGCATAATTAAAAATTTAAGTAAGAGTGTATTTATGTACTCATTTATAGTCACCAATGAGCCAAAAGTCTTAAGAAATTGTCTTTGGCCTGGCAAGAGAGCTTAGTGGATTAAAAACACTTTCCACCAAACCTGATGACGGAGTCTGATCTATCTCTTGGATCTATGTGGATAAGAGACAGCCAGATCTCAGCCTATAGACTTTTCCTATGAACATAGAAAATGCCAATGTTTCTTTCAAAGATGGAAACGGTGAGCTCTCAAAAGAGGAATTTTTGTTAATTACTTGATCCCCAACAATAAGTCCTGCGTAGTGTTGAACATGAATGCTATCCAGAAAAATACAGCGATGTAAAAGCCTATCAATGTCTTGCAAACAATCTTAATTACAAAAGACATCTTGGGTTTCTATTTGCTCAGCTCAACACTTTGTATACCGCGATGGAAATAAAATTAATTTCACTTTTTTGTGCCATGGGATCATGAAAGAAAGAATATACAAAGGAATGCTGTACAGCGTTCCACAATATTTAGTGCCTATCAGTGGACATAAAGTATAAAAGTAAATGGTATTTGTGTCTATTATAGCATTGCGTCTGTTTTTCAAGACAGCACTTCTGCATAGTCCTGGAACTTTCTCTGTAGACCAGGCTAGCCTTGAACTCAGAGATCTGCTTGCCTGCCTCCCAAGCACTGTGGCTAAAATGAAACACCTTTTCCGAAAGTTAAGAGGATTACTTATACATCCAAGAGATACTGGTAGTTATGATTCAACAAGACCCAAAGGAAGCAAAACTATTCTTGCCAGTCACCTTGGGAGGAAAAAAACACATAATAGAAACATAGATGCATGAGATGGATACTAATCAATTTTCAAATTTCCAATACCAAATATGGAACAGCAAGTGGTTTTTGTTTGCATTTTTAGTAATTACCAAATGCAAAAAGTCACTTGGTGTAGTACTCACCCTTCACTTAAGTTCCCATGTAAGCACAAATATACAAAGAAGAAATGAGTTAACTATTACAGCTTGTTTTTTCTTAAAATCAGAATAAGAAAAGACAGATTAAAATTTGTTTTCAGCCAATGAATGAAAGGAAGCTGGCAAGCATAAAGTGATCTTAAAGGACCCAGAAAAGCTATTCTAAGCTGAATGAGTTCAGCTATGGACTATGTATGGAGTTTTAGAAGCTATTTCTAAAAATGCCTACTGGTAATTTTCTACTCAAGTAGCACACACGGGCCATAAGGGGGCAAGTTCAGAGTCAAAGGTTGGCTAAAGAGCTGTGGCTGGTGAAGGCTGCACTGGAAGCTTCAAGAAGGAACACGGGAGGTTAGTGGTGTCTGGCCTGAGAAAGCAAAGGCTTGGAGAAGTGGCTTGCAGTAAACAAACAGCACTCAACCAGGGCAGACAGACTGTGAGAATGTACATACACAAAGTCCTTCAGCCACTGGAGCGGGGCATTTCTCAACTTTCTTCGTCCATTTGCGGAAGTCCCAGTCAACTCATCTGGCTTTCTAACTATTCCAACAGAGTTGCCCAGTGTATTGTTAGGTGGTGATCTCACGTCAAGATCTGGTTGAGCCCAGCCACACTGGACCGCACCTGGTCTTGCAACAACCTAGAGAGGTCCCACCATCTATCACTTAGGCTGTGCGGCCAAATATACCCGAAAAACTTCCCTACTGAAAATTTAAAACTATACCATATACTATATATAAAACTACACTAAACTAACTTGGGGGAAAAAAACTCACAGCTGATGAAATAATTAGCAAAAAATGCAACATCAAGGTACTAGCCTAGACTGTGAGAGGGTGTTCAGGGAGGGATCATAAAAGAGTTAAATTTTCACAGCTCTGTCATTAGCAAAAATAAAAATAAACAAACAGTCCCCTGTAGTCCTGCAACAATTAGTTCTTGAGCTATCTGATGAGTTAAGTGAACTCCACCTGAAGTTAGGACCACTAACAACAGACTGCAAGCTGACTGTATAGCAGGGCCTGCATTCAGTGTGCAGATAATAAGCTATAAAGTAGTTCCTGGCATTTAGAATCAGAAATTCTCTTCGAATTACATGTGTGGGCAAACAGCCGCCATACAGGGAAGCTCATAACTAAGAAAAGCAGGCTTCATAAGTAGGTGTGGTTGCACAGAGGGTCCTTCCGGGAGGCACAGGGTTTTACATCAGTAGGAGACAGGGGAGGAGGTCCAAGTCTGAAACAATACTGTGGGAACATGGAATGCAGGCTGGAAGATAGCAGGCCTTGTGAACAGACAAGTCTGATGTCTTCTGCTCCAAAGGTGGGGAAAAAAGGAACCCAGACATTATTTTGTACACAATGAAGAAAACAGCCAAAAACTAAGGAATGAAGAATGAACTCATCAAACCCAGCAAAACTGCATGGATCACCACCTGCCTGCTACTCCTGCTATGGAACGACTCAGGAGTAAACCATCAGCAGCATGTGTGTCTAACACCCAAGAGAAGTATGTCCCTGGAAACCATACTCGAAGACTTCTCTTTACTCACACTGTATTTGGGAAGTCTTGGTATTCAAGGGCACTTGTGAAATTCTGCTTGGTTTAGTCACAACCAATCACAACAGCTTTAAGTTTTAAAGAGTGACTTCTAAGGGCAGATCCAGTCAACCTGCTGTGGGCCACTGATTCCTCTGCGGTGTTAGCTGCAGACAGACAGGCAGTCTGTATAAGAAGTCAGGTACCACATGCTAAAGAGGAAGGATAGGGTGTCTGAGGGAACCCTGGAGACTGGTGGCTAAACACACCCTGAGACTGCACTGGAGTAGGTCACGCCCTGAGAGATCCCATTCTCATCAAGATCCACTTGGTATTTTTCATCTTATTTACGGTATACAAGCAATGCGTACTTGTTTCCAGGTTTCTTTCCTTCTAAGGTATTTAGATGCTGTTCAAGGGTCTCCATAAGACTGCTGGGAGCCTATAATAAGAAATAAAAAAAAGTCTGTGTTGTTCTCTTTCAAAGCAAGCACACTTTAACACCACTGTAACCCTATATGGTGGAGGCCTATGTAAGGATCCTCATGTCTTTGTGGGATGATTCCATCCCAGGTCCTTTGGTATTTAGGTATTTAAATTCCGTGGCATCTCAGATATACCCATTTTAAATAGACTTACCTCCACTGAATGCCCAATGACATTACAACATGGTTCAGTGAAGAGTGTTTACTATACTGGACGGGCGTTTACTAAGTTACTGCTTAGGTGGACTAAGGTCAAGTTTACTACCACTTCACACAGAACCACAGTGAAAAGGAATAGGCACTTATTTGCACCCAAATCCAAAACATATGTGACAAACAGAAATTTATAGAAATTTAAAAATACAGTAAAAATTCATTTATGCATGTCTGGCTGAAACGCTAGGAATGTCTCTTTATTTATAAGACCTGTGCCCTCTGCATGTGACATGCAATGTAAATATGGCATGATTCTTTTGCCAAGTGCAAATTAAGAAGTTTAAGTAAAGCAAACACTATAATTCAAAATGCAGAACAAAACATAGATAGCAAAGACTCCATAGGACCCACAGTCTCTAGCTTGTTAGCACCAAGATTAAAACAAAACATCAGGAAGACAGTTTATAACTTTATTCTTCCTGGGAAATTTCTGTTCTTCATCCCCTCTTTTTGGAGATAGGATCTTACTATGGAGCCCTGGCTGGCCTCGAACTCAGAGAGATGCATCTACCATTGTCTCTAAAGTGCTGGTACTACAAATGGGGACGCTGAGGTAGAGATCAGAACAGCTGAAAGGGAAACTTGTCAAGATGATGTCAAAACCGACTTGCTCCAAGGGAGTTACTGAGCTACACTCTACATATAATTAAGTTTCAGCCTTTTATCCTAGAGGATTTTAAAGTGCCTTTTAACCTTTATATTTCTCATAAGGGCATGTGAAGATCCAGGAGAAACAAGTTCCTCTTTGAAAAGAAGAATGTACAGGAGCACGAGATGCATGCCTTCTTCATTGTTGGTCTTAAAGTGACTCAGGACATAGTAGGCAATGTGTATAAACGGCCTTGGGGTGGGGGTGGGGGTAGGGGATGGCTTCCTGACCCCCAAAGCAGGCAAACTTTCAGAATGCCTCTGCTGCGGTGAAAGAAACGCAAGGGAACACTGATATAATCAGTAGCATCTTTATTTTCTCATTTCAGAAAAATGGCCAAGTCAACCAGATGGGTATGCTAGTCCACAGAACAGGAACTGGCCTGTGACAGCTGATAGGTAACATCAATGACATAACACTTAAAATGAGACGTCTCTTTACCAGCAGTTTTCAGGTTGGCCATCAAAACCTAAGAGTATTTTCATACATGGAGTTTAAAATTTGGTGCGCACACACACACCCCAAACAGGAAATGCTATTATGAGACTTATTCTGCTGAAATAAATTCATAGCTTGTTGTGATGCCCAGTGCATATTTAAAAAGCGCCCATCTGCCATTTATATGCTTTAGATCATAAAACATGAAAACCAAGTTTAAAAATACACAAAGGTAATTCAGATTTTGGGTTAGATCTCAGAAACCACTCCAAGTGCTAAGGAGAAATATTTCAGTTGGGAAACCATAATCTCTTCTTCCTCAATGCACTACCTTAACTTTAAATGTCTTCTGGAAATGTCACTGATCATCACAAATCATTTAAATGTTCTGATGTTATATACACAACGGTGCTTATTGTTCACACTCTAAAGTGGAAGGCATGTGTTAAATGCCTTTGTTCCTTTTCTTCAGAAATTTGATTTCCCTTTTATTCTAAGATCAATATGAAGTCCTTCAGGTCACCATCCTTTCTTTAACTTTATTCCTATTTATTTATCTATTATGCAAAGGAAAAATTGGTTTTTCTCCAATAGAGTCTCACTGGGTATATTAAGTATATCAAATGAACTCAGTAGTATTTTTGTGAAGTTTTTGTCTTATATTCTGTTGTTTGGGCATTTTTTTTGTCTTACTGGTCTTTTGCTTGTATATTTTGGTTTCCAATTTTGTGTTTTTATGTTTTGAGTGTGTTACTTGTGTTTTTTCTTTGTTTATTCCAGTTTTGTTTGTTTGCCTGTTTTTTAAAGACAGAGAGAAAGAAGATATGGATTTGGATGGGTGGGGAGGAAGAGCAGATCTAGGAGAAAGCAGAGGGGAAACTATGATCAGAATATGTATAAAATTATTTTCAATTTAAAAAAGAAGAAAATAATAGTGTATGTTTGAATGGGTTTGTTTATGTGTGCAGAGCACCCACAGAGGCCACAAGGTGGTGTTGGATCCCTTGGGGCTAGAGTTACAGGCCCTTGTGAGCCACTTCTCTAGGTTGTTAGGAAACAACCTTGGTCTTTACATAAGCAGCAAGTATCAGGCCACCACTTCAGCCCCTATTCAGATATTTTTGTTCATTTTGTGGCTACATGGAGTACTACAGACACCATGGAGAAGCCTGGCAGAAAGCAGACCTTCATTTCAGAGGAGTTAATGGATCCATACAACCTTGTATTGCAGTTTTATCCTGATTTAACACTCTCTGTAGATTTTTAGAAACTCTCACGTTCCAGCTTAAACCTGACTGTACTGTTGGGAGACTGGGGGCAGGGTGGGGTGGGGTGGCACACTAAATCCCTAGCTCAGTGAGAGATCTCCTTCAGCCTGGAGAAAGGGACTCTAAAAGAGAATTTATGGGGATGTGTATGCGACTCACAATCACCAACAAAGCATAATCAAACTACCAATTAAGAAATTCCAGGAGCTTGCCACACTCTCATATTTGAATTTAAATGTGCACAGAATTCAGCTAGAGGAGTTTTTATAGGGTGGTAATTTAGAAATAAATACTAATACTGATGTTTATGATGCTCTTAGCACACAAGCAAAACAGGACAGACATTCTAGACTTTTATGACTCTATCATAGACCAGCTTATGCTCAGGACAGGAGTCAAGTTGGCTTCCCAAGACCTGACACATATACTGTACATCTTTAAATATGTCTATTGACTTCTTCGGTGATTACATAGCTGCAATGAATATTATGGTATCATTAAAAATGAAACCCAAGTGTGTGCCCATTCTTTCAATGATCTGCTCTCATTTTCAAAACTGAAAACCAACAAGGTATTTATATAGTCCCTTGGCTCTCTCATAGTGTCTAGACTGCCCACAGGGAGACATGTGAGGGCCTGTTCTTACCTGCCAGGCTCCCCTGAACTAAATAGCTAGTTTGCATTTATCCCACAGTGAGGGTTGTCATAGTGTAAAAGAAAATTTGCTATTTCTAAAAACTACTCATTGAGCTAAATAGGTAATGCCCATCTTTTAAAATATGTATTATTTATCTGGAATAGTTAGGGGGAAATGCAATGTAGTTTTTTGCTATAGATGAAAAAAACAGAAGCATACATTTTCTTATGATGTTACAAAGTTAAATCTACCTCAACAAGGAGATTTTTGAAACAATATTTAATGCATATTTAATATTTATCCATGCTCAAGAATGTCAGCACCTTATTCAGATATACACTTTAGTAGATAACACTAAGAGGAGTATTTTTAACTAACATTTAACTAATATTAGGCTATCTCCCCCTAAACTAAAGAATATACTGACTGCCATCATGTTCTGAATTATTCAATGAGTTTTATTTGTAAGAATATTTTATAATTTATATTTTAGTAATATAAAAAGAAAGCTTTCATCTTCAACATTCCTAATTTTTAGTAAAAAGTATTTACATATTATTTTAAATATGTAAATATTTCAAGAACTCATAAAGATGACAAATTAATAAAATACAACATAATATTATTTAAAAGTGGGGAATGGGACTAAGAGATGGCTTAGTGATTAAGAGCACTTGCTGATGTTGTAGAAGACCCTGGTTCAGTTCCCAGTACTCGAATGGTGACTCACAGTTGACTGTAGGTCCAATTTTAAGGCATCCAATGCCCTCTTCTGGCCTCTGCAGACTCCTGCATGCATGTGGTGCACATATACTCATGCAGGCTCACATACATGCACATAAATATTAAACCAATCGAAGAAGGGGATTTCATTCTTTTCTAACTATATCAACTACATTTAAAAAGATACAACATTTATGTAACTCATGACCAATGTATGTTGCAGGATATTGAGCAAACTGTGTAAAGATGTGTTACTGTTTGACCTTGCCTGCCTAAGGCACCTGATAGGTTTAATAAAGAGCTGAATGGCCAATAGCTAGGCAGGAGAGGTTTGGCAGGACTTCCAGGCAGAAAGAGGAACTTTGGATGAATCTAAGTGTGAGGGAGATGCCAGTGAGACATGGAGAGAGTCAGACATACAGGATGGAGGAGAAATAGAAACCCACAAGGCAGAATCTGGATTAACAGAAACAGGCTAATTTATGTTATAAGAGACAGTTGGGAACAAGCCTAAGCTAAAGGCTAAGCTTTCATAATTAATAGTAAGTCTCTTTCATTATTTGGGGACTGGTGGTCCCCCAAAAAATTCTGACTACAAGCGTGTAAGAGAACAACTCTGTGACACCCTACAATACTGCTTCTAGTAAAAGGATCTGTATGAAGCTAAAATTTACCATCACCGGGTGTTAAAACCACACTGCTTCCTGTCAATCAAACTGAAGACTATTTATAACCTGACATCTGTTCTCCTTCTTGGGAGCTGTACATGTGACAACCCTCGCTGTCATTTCAAATCAGGGCCCAGAAAAACCACTCCTCTATTAGCACCACTTAAAACATTTATATAGGAAGTCCTCTTCTTCATAGCATGAGCAAGAGGAGTGCAAAACCTGGACACCAGGGTTTCCCCCTTCTGTGCTGTCTATCTGACCAGGTGCATGCAGAGAACAAGGAGAGCAGAAGGAACACTCATGTGCTCTGATGACCGGAAGTTGCTTCTGAGACCCCAAGCTCTGTCACAGACATATTCACAGCTCTCATTGGTTCAAGCTCACTAAGAAGCAATGAGCTCAACAAGAGTATTCTGTTGCCTTTAAAATGTCACAGCTTATGGGCAGGGAAATCTTTCTTTTATCTCCAGAAATAATCATTAACTAGAAAAAAATTAAGGTTGAATAATTACCGAGAAAGCTGGTGTGCTTAAACTCAAAATTTATGAAATATTTACAAAGTATGCCCATTTGTGGTAGCCTACTAATTATCAATGTCTTGTCTGATAGTGCCTCCAGACACTTACCTGTGTGAGATCAGGAATGTCACCTTTATCTATACCAACTTGCTGTGGATTAAAAAAACAAACAAACAAAATTACTAATTGGTAGAGGAAAATAACTTGGCAGCCTGCCTGTGACCAGCAAAGAGAGATTTAAACATAAAAATGTAAGTATGCAACTGTAAATAAGAAGTATTGGTATTAAATGTAGATTGAGGTAGATGAGAGGTAGGTGGATACTTTTTATGACTTTTTTGGCATTTAATATAGAATCACTCCTAGGATTTCTTAAAACTACAGCCTATTCTTGGTGTAAAGCAATTATTACTCTGTGCGCCAACCCTACTGTAAGCATATGCTCTTTATGTAGTTTCCCACTCAACATAACACGGCAATCATTTCATTAATATAGTTAGTTATAACAAGTATAAAGAATTTTACTAGAATCCAAAAACTAAATGAAAACATTCAAAAGAATGAAATTTAAATGTATCCCTTATGCTCAATAGAAGCTAAGGAATTATGCAACTGTTCAAACAAAATTCAAATAATTCTGTCCACTGAGTCCTTGGGGAATGGTTATTTCAGATTATTTTATCTTAATCTTTTGTTCTTCTGTCCTCTTTCACAGACGACTTAGCCAGTTTCTTACACAGGCTTCTAGAGCAGCGGTAGTGCTACCTGTGGGTAGTGGGTAGCACTACCTGTGGGTAGTGACCCCTTGGGGTTAGCATACCAGACATTTACATTACTAACAATAACAAAACTGCAGTTATGAAGTAGCTATGAAACAATCTTACAGTTGGGGGTCACCACAGCATGAGGAACTGTATTTAAAGGATCATAGCATTAGGAAGGTTGACAACCACTGTTCTAGAGTTTATATAGAACCAAGGAAATTTAAAATATAAGTATTTCATTTTCTTCCACCACTAAAAGCATATGAGATACCCTAGACTTAATTTTTCTTTTCTTTTAAAAATGAAAACATTTTATCCAAATTAACTCACAAATCAAAACATCATACAGCTGGTTATAGGAAGACACCCATCCTATAACCACCCTTGCCTGGTCCCAAACTAAACATCTCAGTTAGAATGGCCATTCCAAAGCAGTGGAGCTAAGCTTAGGGTTTTACACTTTCACTGACAATCACATTTTTATTCACTTATCCACCATATATACCATAATAATGATTGCCTTTATATCCTCTTTCATGACTCATGTGTCCCTCTGCCTGCATTCTGGCCTTCCTCATCACCTAATGCTACCTTCACTTGGTCTCCCTTCTAAGTGTTATACTTCACACTGTCCAGTGTCATTTTGAGAAGGATGTACACATACTGTACACTGTCCAATGTCATTTTGGGAAGTATGTGTACACACTTCACACTGTCCAGTGCCATTTTGGGAAGTATGTGCAACACTGAACACCGTCCAGTGTCATTTTGAGAATTATGTGCACACACTACACACTGTCCAGTGTCTGCCTCCTAGATCAAGTGGGAATCTGGGTCACACCTTTCCCAGGAGGTAATGGGGCAATGAAGCAATCTTCTGCTCAGAGTGCCTGGTCATAACAGATCCTTTCACACAAAGAATTGAGCAATTTTTACTAGATTATACTGATAACTGTGGTTAAACCAATGGGAAAATCATACAAAATATACACAAAACCTGTGTAGCAGGAAAAACTCAGGCAATTTTATAATAATGATAGAATAATAAGAACTACAGGCATGTGATGAGTGTCCCATGTCCACAGCAGTATAGGCTTCACCGTTGAGTCTGGAGCCTCTCACACTGCACCCCAGGCTCTAGCAGTCAACATGTGAGATAAAAACCCACTGGCCACCCCACCAGAGGGCTACGTTAATGTCATGGCTTCCAATATCAGCACAAGTCAAGTACTGGATTTCATAAGAGAAACACACACACACACCCAAAACAAAACAAAACCCTTCCAATTTAAAGATAATCCCAGGAATGCCAACTGTATTTTTCTGTGGTTATGATTAAGTGTAATGAATATCCTTAAGAAACAATGTGTAATCTCCATCAAATAATTTATATGTTAGCATTTTCATTATGATTAAGTCATTGACAGGGTAAGGGAGATAGGGATTCATGATTTATACTTTTTTTAAACAACGGATAGATTTTTTTCTAAAGGCAAATGTAGGGTTCAAAATAAAGCACTTTCTTATAATAAAATAACAACAACAAAATGGTCATTAGGTGGAATGGAGGACTGGGCCAACTTGTAGAACAGCAATGATATCATAACGCATGAACATTTTACTTGAGTGCATCTGACTGGGAGGCAGGAATGTGGGATACTGCCTCTGACTGACAGGTTGGGGAGGTCACTATAAGCTCACCTCTCACCCTCATGTATCCTGGACTTGTGCTAGATGTTTTGTCTGACCAGACATTATGCTGCATACTAGTTCCATTTACCTTAGCAACAAAGCCAGGACCACTTACCTCCGCAACTTTGAGAAATTCGGAAACTCGAGTCATTCTAGTTAGAAATCGTTTGTAAATTTCTAGCGCGTCCTTACACTGTCCTTTCTTCATCTCAAAAAACTTTTCTAGAAGAGATAAGTGATAAGCAATTTGAAAAGAGTACTCTGTTTTACTCTAAGCTTCCATTCTGATGCCACTGAAAGCTTAAGGCCTGAGTCAAAGCATGGGCAGGAAAGTGTTAAAAACAGTACCAACAGAGGGAAACAGAGTAGCTGAAAAAGGGCATAAGGTCTGCCAGGAAGCATTTTCAGCAACAAAGGAACTGAGTGGGAAGAACCATCACGACAGGTAAATTCATGATCCCCATGAGTAGGGATTTGTTTTAATGACAACTTCAACTCAAAGCCATGGCTTCATTCCATAGCATCCTTATTCTTTTGTTTCTCTCCTGTCCTCCTTACCCGCGTTCTCTCTCTCTCAGATGCTGGAGACGGAAGCCTTGCCAAGCAAGAGCTCTATACTGTGTGACAGCCCAGCCCCAGGGTTATTATTTTCTTATTTGGTCATATAAAGCAATAATTTTTTGAAAATTTCATTTTGCATTCCAACAACAGTTCTCCCTTCCACCCCTTCTCCCAATATGCTTTTCATATATATGTTTAAAAGAAAACCAGAACTGTCTCAGAGTTTTTGCCAGCCATTCACCATTTCATTCTGTCAGTAATTACCAGCTGACACTGTAAAAGCTGGCTATAGTAGAGATGGAGCCACAGATAGCCTGGTACCTGCTTTATAAATGTATCACTTTAAATTTGCATATGGTTAAAGTCACGCTACTTCTCTATTCTCTCACATAAGTGAGAATTGTTCATGCCACTCAGCTTTTAATTTTACTACCTGGAAAGTATTTTTAGTTTTCTTAAGAAGAGTCTGAAAATATATAATTAGGCAAAGAACTAATTGCCCGGGGTAACTACTCATTACCTTCTGTTGATAGCTTTTGGTAATTTTACTTTTGAATGTAGGGCATTTAAGTCAAGCAAAAGGCTCAAGGAAACAAACATTGTTTTCTTCATGCTAAGATCAGTCCTATTTTGTTTATCATTATTGTTTTGGAAAGGCCAGCTGGCAAGCTGACCACACTCCTGTAAACAGCCCCCACCCATGCTCATGTAAGAAAGCCTTGTCAAACTCAGTGGGTTATAAAAAGGAAGCATGAAAGCGGGGTGACTTGATAGAAAGAAGAAGGGATCCATGGGCGTGGATAAGATAAAAATACATTAGATGTATTATGAAATTGTCAAAGAATAAACTAAGAGTGTTCAGAGGTCAAATCGAAGATCATTTTTCATTTACCCTAGCCTGTTTTCTAATGCTATTGATAGCATCATGCTCTTACAATGGGAGAAAACCTTTTGTGCTGAAAAAAAAAAAAAAAAGAGGAAAACTGGGATTTAGTCTGAAAATGATACTTCTGTCTGTCTTCCCTTTACTTTTCAGATTGCTGTGTTCAAATGTCTTAAATTACTTCTCTTTACTATCATCTAACTTGTTTCTTCCTATCAGGTCTTCAGAAGCTGCATAAGGAATCAAATTGAGTAATATCAATTTTCTCTTTGAATTAATACATCATAGTTAAGCAATTTTCTTTGTCTCTAGCGTTTTTCTGTTTTCTTTTTTTTTTTTTCATGGTAAGTTGGGATTCAATAACAAAATGCCTTCAATCACTCTCTCTCCAGGCTATAATCTTGTAGCTGTTCCTCTGATCATGTAATAGCAATGACACAGAAAGGCAACACACAATGTTTTACTGCCAATCTATAAGGCGCCTTCATCCCCTGGAGTCAAAGGAAGGGTCCAGATAAAGTCCTACTTCGTGGAAATGGATCTCTTTTCTTCCCCACTAAAGATAACATGTTGTTTTTTGTTGGGAGCCAAAGATCTCAGGGCTTGGCATGAGATCCTAGGCCATGCTTGGCCGGCCACATAGTTGTATATTAACCTTTACATAGCAGCTCCTTAGAACCTCAGCTCAAGAAAAGAAACAACCTATTCCAGTCCTCACCCACAGGCTCAGTCACCTAGGCAACCCTTCCTGGACCTCTTACTCATGAACTCTTTACCCTGTCAAACGTCCTCTTTGTGGCTTCCTAATATCCTGCCTACACTAACACCTGGTGCACAAACAACCCATTCTACCCCTCCCTATATCCTGCTCTCCTAACTATATAAGCTAGCCTGAGAAAAATAAAGTTTGCCACTTGATCAGAATCCTGTCTTGTGGTCATTCTTTCTGCGTCTCTTGTCCCCATTCCCTATCCCTGACTCTCTTGCCCCAGGTTGATGTCCTGCAGGTTGGGACAGTTTTTTAGGATCTGAAATGATCAAATTTGACACCTGCAAAACTGTGATCCAATGTTTCAGCACCAATGTTTCAGTAGAGTATAACTAGGCTCTTGGTAAGCAAGACATCTCACTTGGATGTCTGAGTTTCACGGATGTCTGAGTTTCACTGCGACAATCAATTTCAAGTTTTGTAGCATCAGCTAGATGTATGCCACAGTGACACAAGTTACAGTTATCTGAGCCATCAGAGAGGAGGGAACCTTAATTAAGAAAATGCCTCCAGAAAATCAGACTGTGCAAGACTGGACTGTAGGCAAGCTTGTAGGGCATTGATGTGGGAGGGCTCAGTCATTATGGGTGGTGCCACTTCTGGATGAGTGGTCCTGGGGTCTGTAAGTAAGCAGGTTGAGCAAGCCACCAGCATCCAGCCAATAAGCAGCACCCCTCCATGATTTTAGCTCCTGTCTCCAGGTTCCTGTCCTAATTAAGTTCCTACCCTAACTGCCTTTGAGGATGAGCTGTAAGTGTAATAAACCTTTTCCTCCCCAACTTGCTGTTGGTTATAGTGTTTATCAACAGTATTGGGAACCTGAATTAAGAATGCATCCAAACTGTCTCCAATTTATCCACAAAGTACAGTCATGAAGTATTTGATTTCAACCAACACACATTTTCACAAGGCTCACTCTTACAAGTAAAACACATACTTGCCTCAAAACAATCAGGATCCCCATTTCATGTGCCTATCTGCTAGTTAGACTGTTACTTTAACAAGAGCAGTTCTGACCATGCTGATGAAGGCTCCACAACAGAAAAAAGGAGATGCTTGGACCACTCCCCCAAAGTCCTTAATACAAAACAGTTCAGTGGTCCTATAACCTTTCCCCCTCCTAATTTAGACAGTAAGCTAGTGTTATCAAATTAAAAATTAAAGTGGTTCAAATAAGCTATTATGTTAAACAAAAACTGCCTTCTAGATACCAGTTATGTATGAAATCAACACATTGTAAAGTAGAACAGCAGCTAAGCAGCTGTCACGACAACAGTGGGGAGAATTACATGGCTGAACTTGTCAGATTGCTAAGCCAAATGCAGGCACCAAATCCATTGCTTTTGATGCTGAAGTAGGAATAAGGCTAAGTGAGAAAGGATGAGAAAAAAACAAAAGATGTCATTGCTGGCAGGCTACAAAGCTCAGGAAGATGAGCAACAAAGACAACTGGGGGTGCAGGTTGAAAAGAGCGATGGCTTAACGAGAAAAGAGATTAGGAGCAGCAAGTTGAAGAGTTCAGTTTCAGTGACTGTGCAGGGTCAGGGAAGAATCCAGGATCTGGATTTATGAAGCTACAGACAGTAAGAATTGCAAGGCTGACATTTATTAAGAATGGTCAGAGCAGAGAGAATCCATTTGTGGCTCATCTAATAGAGATGGTGGCCAGAAGTAAGCCCTAGGAAAAAAGCTCACATTTGGGAGTTAAGAGTGACCTGTAAAAAACGAATAGGAAAATTTGTATATCTGCTTTAATGGTAACATCTCTTACCCGAAATGAAAATTCAGTTGGTTTAGAACTTCACATTTAGGGCAAAAACCTGTCCCCAAAGAAGGCAAACATCTCCCCCTCCCCCCTCCCCCAGAGCAATGTCATGTGAGTGACTGGCCCCAGCCACCAGACTTAGCTCTGCACATTGACTTAGCTAGAAGATAACCCTGAGGCATGCACTGTCTTCCGGTGCCTTTATGCTGCTGCTCAGTCTATTGCTTCTGACAGGCAGAAGCCCAAGCAGCTGAGATTACTGGCCTGCAGCATCCTGCTACCCACTGCCCAGCTTCCCGGATTTAGAGGAGCAATGATTAAAGTTACAGTCATGTGATCCTTAATCCTGGATTACAGCTTCAAGTGTCCATTTCCCAGCTTCCTGGTGCCTTGAAGAAGTAGCTTCTTGTTTGTAAAATAACCTGAACAGGCGGCCTCAGAGAAGCAGATCCTGTAAACACAGGCTCTTAATACTAGGAGTTCCTTCAGGAGACAGAGCCCAGGGCCAGTTTCTGGAGGCTTCCATTAGTTATAGAAGTGCCCAACCTCCTATATAAATTCCTTTCTAGACAGAAAATGTAAAGCAGTTTGTTTTCTTTTTCTGTTTTGTCTTGAAGACACAGTATTTGGTACCTGAAGAGACTCCAAGAAGCAGTCTCAAACTGTCACACAGCCAGTTTGGGATCAGGTTTATAACTTGGTTGGAATGGCAGGTGGTGTAGTGATGACCATCTCTGCCCACAGGAAGCTGGGATCCTCATAGACTGTCTTAAGCTTCCTTGGCATATTCTGGAATGAAGCTTATCAAGCCCCGGGCTAAGTCCACCACAGTGGGAACAAGGCTAATAAAAACGTCAGAGTAAGTGGATGCTAGCACTTCCATTGAGGAACTTAAAAAAGAGAAGGAAAACAAGATTTCATATGAGGCTTGAGGCAAAGTAAAACGTGACTGTCTCGTGTCAGCCCAGGCTTCCTGGGAAAGTAAGATTTTCCTCACACATGTTCCCTCTCTCCCTCCCAGCTGCTTCATGACCCAAAAGTGATTTTGAATTCAGTAATTCTCGTATATAAAGGGTAAGACACTAAGGTCTAAGGAAGGCAGGACCAGCCTGTTCAGACAGGAAGAAAATATTCTGGCTTGGGGGGTGGTCATTTTGCTTGACCCTCCCAAGCCCTCTTCCCAGCTGTCTTTCTGCAGAAATGCCATGACTTCACATAGAGCATGGTGAGGCTGTATGTAAAAG